TTTAATAGGGAGAGGTTTTGGTGTATTGATTATGCCACTACAGTCTAACTGCTCTATTCTTTGCTACTTAGGAGTTAAAGTGGACCTTTTATGCTCATTAGTTTGCATATATGTTATCTATACATTGTGCTATCAGTTTTGCCAGCAAATGTATAGATTAGGAGAAAAAGCTATTTGAAAATATTTTCTCCCAGCTGTCAATCAGTGCCTTCAACTAGGAACTGTTGTTGCAATGGAAACTCCCAGTTGATGCTTCTAGTGCTGGCCAAGGTGTATAAAAACTGAGTGCCACTACATCGCTTATTTACAACACTGGCAACTAAGCCAGTGTGCTGACGTCAAGGATGAGGTTTTTACCTGCTTGGACATGCATATTAAGCATTGCAAATTAACCCCTTAAGGACCAAACCCCTGGAATAAAAGGGAATCATGACATGTCACAGATGTCATGTGTCCTTAAGGGGTTAAAGAAAACTGCAGGTGGAGCGGAGGATGGCTTGGAGGAAGGTGTTACAGAAAGAGTAACAGCCAAAAAGCGGTGCTGGAATAGAGGAAAGATGAGTAAATCATTCTATTTTAAATTGAATAAATCATGTATCTTTGAAGTATGGGGTATTAAATATATATGGGAGTGACTTCAGGTAAGTGAGTTTTTTCCATTACAGGTTTACTTTAAATCACTTTATTTATGCAGCTTTAGCCACACTTCCCCTGCATGTGATCTACACATTTTCTGTAAATAGAATGTAATGTTTAAATGTCCTTTATTGTACAATCTGTTAAATTTAGACTTTATCTCCTGCTCTGTCAATAGCCTGCTAGAGCCTTTAGTAGCATCTTGTGTTTGATTAAAATTCAATTAACAAAACAGGAGATGAAGTCTTAATAAGTAAACACACTAAGGTGTCACATTTGATTGCAACAATTTTTTTCCCCTCCATGTTGGCTGTGTGAATCACAGACAGGAGAAGTGTGGCTAGAGCTGCATAATCAAAACAAAAGTAATTTAACTCCTAAATGGCAGAGAATTGAGCAGTGAGACTGCCAGGTCATTATGTAAACCAGCGGTTGCCAAATCAGTGCTCATGGACCACAAACAATCCAGGATGTATGTATTTTTAGACCAGTGGAGATACTCACAAAATATTTGTGGCTGTTTTAAAGACACGTTAATATTCTGCAAACAAAACTACAGAATTTGTATTCATTGTTTAGTCGTCGGCTGAAGTGTATTGACTAGGCATGTACATTTTAATACTACATTTCTGTTGGATGGTGTACAGTTTTGCAATGCATAACTTATTATGTAGACTAATAGACCCATTTGTGATTATTCAGGATAAAGTGGGAGAATTTGCCAAGTTGTCAAAGATTGAACTTCTTGAAGCAACAGAGAAATCAGTTGGACCTCCAGAGATGTACAAGTTTCATTGTGAACTGAAAAACTGCAGGGAAAAAGAAAGGGAACTTGAAGTATGTTTGGGGCTGGTTTGCGTGCATTTAAAAAAAAAAAAAAAAAAAAAAAATTGTATTTCCCTCTTTCTTTCTCTTTCTATCGCATTTTCTTCTTGTTATTTTTCAGTTAATGATTGAGTATTTTAACCCCTTCAGGACGCAGTCAATAGTACACGTTCTGATCAAAACATAAACAAAAACTGGAATTTGCGCTATATGTCTGTTCAACCGTAATTCACCTCTTTCATATTAAATGCACCCACACTTATATATCATTTTGTTCAGGAGAAACAGGGCTTTCATTTCATATCAAATATTTATATATGAAACATAATTTATTATGAATAAAATTTAAAAAACTGTGAGAAATGTAAATTTTTTTTTCAAAATTTGGAGTTCCGCCTCACATTTTAGCTGTAAATGTCATACTGTTAGGTTTTACTGCAAAAAAATGCACATATTTGTAATCAGCGATGTCTCATGAGTACAACAGTACCCCCCATTAACAGGTTTTATGGTGTTTTGGAAAGTTACAGGGTCAAATATAGAACGTTCCATTTTCAAATTGAAATTTGCCAGATTGGTAATGTTACCTTTGAGACGGTGTGGTAGCCCAGGAATGAGAATTACCCCCATGATGGCATACCATTTGAAAAAGTAGACAACCCAAGGTATTGAAAGTGGGGTATGTTTAGTCTTTTTTAGTAGCCACTTAGTCACAAACACTGGCCAAAGTTAGCGTTCATATTTGTTTTTGTGTGAAAAAGCAAAAAACTAATATTTGGCCAGTGTTTGTGACTAAGTGGCTACTAAAAATGACTGGACATACCCCATTTGCAATACCTTGGGTTGTCTACTTCTGCAAATGGTATGCCATCATGGGGGTAATTCTTATTCCTGGGCTACTATACGGTCTCAAAGGCAACATAACCAATCTGGCAAATTTCAATGTCAAAAAAATGAAATGCAAGCCTTATATGTGACTCTCTAACTTTCCAAAACACCATAAAACCTGTACATGGGAGGTACTGTTATTCTCGGGAGACTTCATTAAACACAAATATTAGTGTTTTAAAACAGTAAAACATATTACAAAATTTTTTTTTTTTTACACTTTCCCACCAGCAGGGGGACTGTCTGACAGCTCAGACAGCCCCCTGCTGGCAGATCCACAGCCAGCTATAGGAGGCCATGTGATCGCTCTTTGAGAGCGATCACATGGCCCCCAGGGGCCTCAATTGCCGGGGGAGGGCTGCCTGGGCAGTCAGTAAAGGTGAGTAAAGCCCTTTAAAGCCGCGACGGCATAGAACGCCGTAACAGCGTTAAGGGGTTAAGTGCAGCAGCTTGTTGTGGTTTTGTTTCCATTTAATGATTCTACTTACTTGAAGATCATTACATGCTTCTTTTGTTTAATGAATCTTGCAAAGTTATTCATTCTTTGTAGCCCAATGGGATGGTTATACATGTCTGCAATAACACACAGCTAAAGAGAAGCAATGGTCATAACTAAAGCATTTCTTTCACCTCCTTAATGCAAAAATATCAACGACTTGGATATGCAAATGCTGAAATTAAGCCGTATTTGTGTCATTATTAGTGTAAGTTTTGTTCAAAGTGTAGCATTCTGCATAACTTTTTAATCCAGTATGACGCACAGTGTAAATGTGGAGGTTTAGATTCCATAGGTCTACTATCTTGTTGCTGATCGTGGAATCCTGCGTCAATATTAATGTGTGAATGTCGCTTGATAGGCGGTACCGTTTGAGAATACTTACTCAGGAATGGTTGACACAGCAGAACAACACTTTCTAGAGGCCAGTGTTTAGAACTGCACTTCCATGCTTTTTATTTAAAAATGTTTTAATTTTAGTTTTTTGTTTTCTCTAAAGCACTAATAGACTAATTTGGAATTACCTGTTACTCACCATTCAACTCCAATCTTCCAGCTGTGAGAATTTTAATACATGTTTTTAATGCTGTAGGGCTTTCTTTTTATTTCTTTATTGTGGGTTGCACTAAATAAACTCTTTGCTTATAACAGAATACTTACAAGAGTAAAGCTGAATATTTACAGAATATGAAGCAACAAAATGAACGCTACAAGAAGGATGTTGAGAAATACTACGAAAAAAAGCGCCACCTTGATAAAATAGAAATGTTGGAAAGAAAAAGGCCTTGGGTGGTAAGTTCTATTTGTTTGCTTGAATGGAGAATTGGAAAACCCCAAAACAGAATGAATGGAAATAGAATTCTTCTATTAAAAAAGCATATTCAATTATACTACACAACCATCTACATAATGGTACTCAAAATTATTGTGAAATTATGTAACACTCAAAGTGCACTCTCTAAAATACAGTGCTTTATTGCTAAATAAAAAAATAATGTGCAAAATGTTAAGCCAGCGTACAAGAAATAATTCAGATACTCTATAAAACAGTATTTTCCTTGCAGTATATGAACCTAAATGAAGAAATGACAATGCAATAGTGTATACCTATAAAATAATGACTGTCCTAGAACAAAGCGTGGAAGTAACTCACTGAAAGTAACTTGCTGTACTGTGGTTTTGAGCAATAACCACAAATAAGTACATACAGCATGTAAAAATGAAAGTCTCTGATTTGTCCTCTATTTATACATTGTAACACAGAGTAACTATGTAATCTTATAAATCATAACAGGGTAACTGTTACAACTTAAATAAAGTTGGGATGGAATTAAAATATAAATACCTTTTTAGTGTTCTGATCTATTTTTTTTTTTTATTAATATATATATATATTTTTTTTTTTTTTACTTGCTATTTTTATTTAAATACGCATTTGTTTTTCCCCCCAAAAGAAGCTTATTCAGTAATCCAATTTAATTCATGAGTAATTCAGGTATTTTAATTGCATCCCAACTGTGTCTGTGTGTGTAATCTTGCAATACAATTCAGTTATAACAAAGTAGCCCTTTTACGATCACATTGCCACTCTGTTACAATGTATAAACAAAACACATGCAACATTTTTTTTTTTTTTACTTGCTGCTTGAAACACTGCACATCCAGAGTTATTTGCACTTGTGTCTCGCGGGCAAGTGAACCCCCGCCACATCCTGGGTTTCATAATGTAAATTCTGTGCTTAAAAATTAGGTCTTCCATTATACTGAGGGAAGCTCTCCCTATCCCCTCTGCTATTTTTTCATTTCCTCATCCTTGCTCCTCCTATAAAATGGTAAGATCAAAGCCTTTGATTGGACCTCGGCACGACTACCTTGATGACAGACAGGAATGAAGCTGAGCAGCGCTGGGAGTTTCAACCGGTTCTTTATTTTAGAGAGTTACATTTTTTTTTTTTTTTTTTTTTTATTTTTATTTGTGCGGGGAAAATCACATAGCATACAATGCCACAACAGCAAGCGCATACAGATTGTCAGACATAGATTTGCAGTGTTTAGGCAGTAGAGAATACATAGCACATTTTTATGGAATAGTGTCGCATGACAAAGAGTTACGTCCAATCTTGTTATTGGTGAAAGTAATGAACAGGGTTAGCTAAAAACAAATTACTATAGGTTTGATTCTATGTCAAGATGGGTTAAACAGCAGATTATGCATGAGGGAAAAGCTTACATGTAAATTGATTTTAAATGGCAAGATACAAACTAGTCAGATGGGTGGCTGAACAGGGTATACTTTGCTTACAAACTGACTATATATTTGTTTAGACTCGAGCAGTAAAAGACAGGCTGGGTCACTAAAGTGGTGTAAGCAAGAATTAGGTAAGAGTCCCCAGGAGGCTTCTACAAGGTCATAAACTAAATTAGTTAAGGGCAAATAAAATAGAGCTGGATAAGATAAGAGACAATTATAGTTAACTTGCGTTGCTCTCCCTGTGATCGATGTGTGCAGGAGAAGCTGGTGGGGGTTAAGTTCCCCCTTGTTCAGTCCGAGAGTTCACTCAGCCGATGCCTGCCAGAGGAGCCCCACATTCCTGCAGCCTGGAAATGCATAGCAAGCCTCTGGGTCCGATCGCTGTCAGATGGAGCCGGTCTGCTTGTGGAGTCAGGAGCTGGCGTGTGGTGAGGTTTTTCAGGCCTCTGGACCCAGGAACTGACAGATGAGGTGTGTCAGTTTGCCGGGTCAGGATTATCCATGATGCTTGGGGTCCCTGGTGAAGTATACCAAGAAGCCTCTGCCTCCTCTGTTGGGGTGGTGTGCGCCTCTCGGTTTGCCGCCTTGCTGAAGCTTGAGCTGGGTGCTTTCCTTCCCGTCGCCACTGTGATGCCTTTTGTGCTGTCGGCATCTTGTGTTTCTGCTGTGGGCTTCGCTTTTGCCGCCGAGGTATGTGGTCCTCTGGCTGCGGTTGCGTTGCTCTCCTCCTCTCATTCTCCTGTCTTTGCTTGAGGTTGATTGATTTGGCATGCTTGACTCTGACATTTGTGCCACAACGCGGGTGCCTCTGGCGCCATTGAGGTCGTTGCATGCTGTGAGCAGAGTCTCTGCGCCGAGGGCGATGCAGGGGACTCCGGAGTGGCTGAGTCAGAGGTGGTTCTGGTACAGCAGGTGAGGCATGTTGTGGGGTCAGTGGGGAACCCCGCTGTCTCTCCTCGATGCGGAGCCAGAAGGCTGCGAAGACAGCATCCAGCTGTGTGAGTATCGATCGGGTGTGCACAGTTTGAGTAGGTCTGTCTGTGACCACCGCCATCTTTGGTGCAGCAAGCATCCATCTTCTTTGGAGCTGCGAGTTGCAGGGTTGTTCTCCTGAGACCGGGATGACCCCCACCGGTCCATAGGGGGGGGGAACGAGGGCCCAGTATCGGGAGTCCAGTCGTGAGTGGCGTCGGAGGAGCGGCCGTCTCCTCCGCGCCGGCCATGCTTGTAGGCCGCATACGGTGCTCAGGTGAGTCTCGCTTCAGATGTGGCATGTTTGGTACCTGTTGGATCACCCAAGCGTCACCAGTGGCTTGGTGGCCCTTGTGTGTCGTGCACCCGCTGTAGTTTGACTTTTTTTTCGCTTTATTTGCCAGTAAAAGCAGGAGCTGTGTCTACAAGCGTCCACTCAGCTCAGCGGTCAGGCCCCGCCCCGTTACATTTATTTTTAAAACCCTCTTTGAGCATTTTTTGGGTGGGGGAACCAAAAGAATGCCATTATTCTATCTTAAAGGGACACTATAGTCACCAGAGCAACTACAGTTTAATGTAGTTGTTCTGGTAAGTATAATCATTCCCTTTAGGCTTTTTGCAGTAAACTCATTTTTTTTCAGTGATAAGTGTTTACATTACAACCTAGTGCTCACTCCACTGGCCACTCCTCAGATGGCTACTATAGGTGCTTCTAGTGGCAGTGCAGCACAGATAATTAGTGCCTCTGCACTGAAGTAAGATTTTACTTTATTTACGGGGGCTGGCGTGGCTAGATGGTGGTTTTAACACTATAGGGTCAGGAATAAATGTTTGTGTTCCTGACCATATAGTGTTCCTTTAAACAAAAAAGTTTGGAGAAACCCTTTTAAAGGGACTTTACAGGTACCTTCCTGACAGGCAGCCACTACAAGTGCTTCAGCTGCTACAACAGAGTTAAACTTGGTTATAGCTCAATTGACTCTCCTAGAGAACATTTGATTGGCACTTTGTGGCATTTTGCGGTGACTGCTCTGTTTGGTGTCTGAGTGTTATGAGGTGCAGGTAAAGGTGTGTTTTTACTTACTTGAACTTGTTCCTGAACAGAGCCCTTTTCCCCTTGGTGATATTAGAACATAGTAAAGGTGAGTGTTTCAGAAAGGCTTTATCTTTAATTAGATTTAAGTTATGTTGACTATTGACATATTTTGATAGAGGAGTCTGGATCAGAACTGACATGTAGAAATGTCTGGGTCATTACAGGCAATTGTAGAAAGTGTATAAAAAGTACAAAAATACAATCTAGGAGCAATCATTTTAAATACTGAAAAAGGATGTTGTATAATTTTAGTTTCCTTTTATGTAATTGTAGACATAGTTAACAAATATTTTATAAACCTTTTTTCTGTACCTTTCCTTCCACTGTAAATATATGTATAACATACATAGTAACACTGTGATGTGCAAGCCAATAGACCCCACTTTATGTGTACTAACATACCCTGAAATGCACTAAGTATTAAGTGGACACTGTAGGCATCCAGACCATTTCAGCTCATTGCAGAGAGTATAGCTGATCCACCCAAACACTAGCCCAGACTGAGTGAATGGTGAAAAGGAACTGGTTTATTATGGCTAAGGTGCTTGCTTTTATACACAGCCCCCAGCATGGAGTCTCCATTCAATGCAAGACAAACCCCTCTTCTAAATCTCTGTGCCTGGGAGATAATTGCGTTAAAGACAGGTAAGCTAATTATCTCCCAGGAACTAACGAACAACACCAAAATATAAAAATACCCCAAAACATCACTTAAAACATAAAATAAACCACAAATAATACATCCCTAAACAGCCCTAGATCTATGAGGACCCAAGTTTTCCAAATAAGCGCTTAGATCCGTGCAGTGCAGGGAAAGCATCACCGTGTTCTGACTGGCCACCTGCATTGGTCCACGATGCCCAAATAGTTGTAGGAAAGCTTGGTGCTTTGGCCTGGTCAACTTTCGGGAGCTTCTGCATCCAAATATATGGTGTGCTCCATTTTGGCTCGGTAGCGTTTGTTCCCCTTAGTCTCAGGCACCTTCCCTCCAAGCGCTCTCCTGAAGGTTTGCAAAGTTGTTCAAAGCCGGACCGGAGTTGTCCAGGTAACCCGCGACCCATTAAATGGGGTTGTCAAATCGTCAGCGGCAAATGCAGCTAGCGTTAGGTCCCGATAGGAGAGGGAGGAACAAAGTGAGAGTCTAACACTACATCTATGTATGTGACAAAAAGGGTTTATCGCACCATACCATGGGAGGTGGGTAATATGAGGGTGTCCTATAGGCTAGGAATACAATTTTGTGTGTAATCTTGCAATACAATTCAGTTATAACAAAGTAGCCCTTTTACGATCACATTGCCACTCTCTATTACAATGTATAAACAAAACACATGCAACATTTAATTTTTTATTTTTTTTACTTGCTGCTTGAAACACTGCACATCCAGAGTTATTTGCACTTGTGTCTCGCGGGCAAGTTGAGCCTATAGTTTCCCTTGAACAACTTCAGTGTTGAAATTATTTTTTGTAAAAAATGTAATACAAAATTACATAATTTTGTTTTGTGAGATAAGAAACAAACTAAAGTTTGAAGTGGTTGGCCTTTAAAGAAAAAACAAAATGCATAAGATATGCATTAATGATCTATGTATAAATGAACATACATGTTCTTAAACCAGTATTTATAAAGAATAGAATAAAAACGTCATTGTACAGTCGTACCTAAACACGCATACAGAATTGACTTTATTGTCCCGCTAAAGCGACTTTTCTTTGTTTTAAATGTTCTTTGATAACATGCGTTCATCTTCACGTTTGTGTATCGTTACAGGAATATGAAAATGTGCGCCAGCAATATGAAGACGTAAAAAAGAATCGTGATCAATTGAAAGAGGAAGTCAGAAAGTTACAAGAGAAGCAATCTCCTCTTAGTCACAAAATACAACAAATTGAAAAGCAGCTGAAATTGATTGATGGAAAAATAAAAGACAAGGTGAGAAGTGTTTTAAATATGAATACGCTGATATGTTTACACTAGGGCTGTGACTACAATTTCTTTTTGTAGCTCCGTAAATGGCAGTGTTGGACGAATTGCGTAAAGAATATGTGTAATTTCTTTTATAGAAAAAAAGACAAAAACAAATCTAAGCTTCAAATCCAGTGTTGGTTTCCATTTATAACTGGATAATTATGTTAACAATTTGAATAGTACACTTGCAGCCATCAATGCCTATGTAGGAGTTAGTGGTTGAGTTGTGTTAAGTCGACAATGAACTGGCAAAACATAAGACAAAACTGCCAGAGTGTAGAAACAAATATTAGTAATTCTTTTTCCATAAGTAGCCTGTAAAATGTTCACAATGCACTGGGGGACTTTGATATTATTTTTGCAGTTAGCAATTCATTCAGATCATTGGAAAATTAAATTGATATTATCTTTCTGATGTATTTATCAAAAAATACTCTTGGTGTTTGCCATTTTGTTCATTATTCTTAAAACATTTTAATATCTGTAAATCACAAGAAACTGGTACTAAACATCTCACAATTTCAAATGAATATGAAAGTTCTTTAAAACCATTAAAGGAACACTCCATTGCCCTTTAAAAGTATTTGAAAAAGGGGAGGGCTTGCAGTCTATGAACTATCCATGGAACTGCGAACGCATACGCGATCACAACTTTCTAATGCTTCTTAATGAGCTGTAAAACAACTCATTGAGAATGTGCTAAGGAAGGCACTCTTTAGAATAGCGTGCCTGCTGATTTTGTTGTGAATCTGGCGTCAATAGAGGCAGAAGAAAACCTCCCTGGCTGTTTGTTTCTGCCCCAGTTATTAAAGTGGTGATTTTTATAAACATTTTCACTTAAAATCTGCACTTTTGTTAACTGCCCCCCAATTAAATAAAACGGTAGGCTGGAGACAGACAAAACCCTTCAGCTAGTTGAAGTGCTTTGAGTCAGGAGTGTTCCTTTCAAAAACAAAAAATTATCTTTATTTCATAAAAGTATAAATCTCACCAACTAGTTACAGTTTAGACGGTCATTTCAATGGACCGGTTCCGTTTTGAAATCCCCTGTTGCGCCAAAGTGCTGATGTATTGAATTCACATTGCTTCCCTTTCATGGTGCAAAAGCTGTCTTTCTACAAGACCATCTTTGTGGGTTCTTCCTAATTAATAACTTTAAACTCCCTAGTACTTTTTTTTTATTTTGCATATAATTTAAAATGCCAAACTCTGCCCTGCCTGCATGTGGTCTCTGAAGTATGATTTTTGACTACTGTAGTAAATATTTTTGTTTGAATAATTTGTACATAGCATGGTGTGTGTGTTTATTAGTATTGTAATTGTTTCTTTGATTAAAAGCCAAGGAGGTAGTTTTTAATTTTATTTAAGTGTAACAATTATTGTTTTTAAAAGGGGTTGGAGATTAAAGAGACTTCACAGAAATGCAAACAGAAACAAGATGCTTTGGAAAGGAAAGATAAACAGGTATGTCTTTTTGTTCTTTTTGGCATGCCTATTCACTCTTTTCATAATTTTGCACTTGAAAACTATAGCTTGACTACAAGACCATCCATTTGACTTGGATAGTAAGAGCAATAAATACCTATTCCATATTTGCAGTACACATTTTTTGAAAGACATTTAATAAAATGTTACTTCGAGACATTGCTGTATTTTCTGACCTGTACATTAAATTAGTATGTCATAATGGCAGTTGTGAAAACCATTGAGGAAGAAAAAAAACAACTCAAGAAATGGCTGCTGAAAACTATTTTTTTTCCCCATCACATGAACAATTCTGTAAATGTGCTGAGGATGGAAGATTAAAAAAAAATGTAAAAGTTGCAATACAAAAATGTAAATTGTATTACAAATACAACTGCAGAGGAAAGTCTTATTTGATTGATTGCATATTAGTAAGTGCTAGCTAGCCTAGCACTTGCAGTCTATCATTGCCATACAAGGTGCTTGGATTCTCCAGTGAGATAGCCAAACTGCAGACTGAGATTATCTCTGCTGTTTTGTAACTCAAATAATTGTTCTCTCGTTCACAGAGCAGTTCCACTCACCTGATCTGATCTGATGTAGTGGGGACTACTCTTAGGTGTAAACGAGCTATACCATAAATGTTTCATGAAAGTGTATACTCCATAGAACAGACAAAGTTTGGAGGCTCAACCTAGGCAACCTCACTAGACTGAGTCTACAAGAAAATGTTATGGCAGTTGTATTTTTTATTTTTATTTAATTTTATTGCCTTGCATAGAGGTACATAAGGGTAATTTCAAACCCCTCCCCCTTTTTTTTCTTAAATGTACATATGCCGCTTTCTGCCAATATGGTTTTGATGTACATAATTATAGGGGAACTGCCACTTCTCCAGAATGTTTAGTCTTGCCAAATATGTATTTGTGAGACGTGAAATATAAAATTTAAGTGTTGAAATCCACACTGCTATATTTACCTCTGTCCTGGAAGGGACCAGGGATGGGGTTTTTTTTCTCTTGAAAGTGGCACTTCTGTAAAATAAGAAAAAAAGGAATCAAGTGGTTTAGAAGACTAGATTAGAAAACAAAAAAAATAAGCATCACATGCTAAAAGGTTAATGCCAGGTATAGGAGATGTTTTTTTTTTTTTTTTTTTTTTATTCAGTGATGTAATTTCCAGAGAAGCAACAGTTCCTCTTTATTTATTTATTTTTATTAAAATGTGAAAATGTTTAGTACTAACTTTTTCTTGGCTACATATTGTATGTGTACATTTAGAACAAAAGCATTTCCATGTAGTCTGGTGTTTTTATTTCCAAATAGATAGAAGAAATCCAACAGTCACTGAGAATGAGGAGAGATGAGGAGTGTGACAGACAGAAGAAAATCTGCAACATTCGTAAGATGATAGAGGACTGGCAGAATGAGCTGAGCACAATGGACAACCGTGAACAACTTCAGCCAGAATTGGAATCCATTGCCAATGAGCTACGACACATCCAAGTAGAGAAGTCAAATGCTGATGGTGAACTAAGCGACTTAAGAATGGAGAAGGACAACTTAGAGAGAGAAAGGAAAAGTACGTTAACAATTGTTATATTACTAGGCTTAAAACTTGATATTAGTATATATCATTGTGTATTAAAAATATACATGAATACAGACCAAACTTTATTTCAAGCCAGTTCCTCAACCAGTTCCAAAAACATTCTTTTATCTCTTGAAAGAAACCTTATAAATTTCAAGTCAGACTATTGGAAGTCATTTGTGCTAACCGTATTCTTAGCCAAAAACTCTGCTCTTTACAGCAATGTGAACTGAGTGCAAACTAATTGTATGGTTGTAGTCCGATACTAGATCTCATAACTGTTGCTGGAATATATGTTTCATGGATCGTTGCCACTATTTGGAGTTAGATTTATCTTTACTGGAGGTCTTATATTTACCTACCCCTGACTGATTGCTTTCCATTATCGGCTGAGAGGCATCAGTGAGATGTAAATGTTTTCCTATTTTAAGGTTTTTATATTATATATGTATTTGGAAATCTTGCAAAAAATTGTGAAAAAACTAAACCTTTAAATACCAAATCAATCAAATTCTATTAAAAAACGTAATCTGAAACCTTTAATCATTTTCTTTAGACTATTTACCTAAAGACTCATAACAAGCTAAGCTTTCCTATATATATATATATATATATATATATATATATATATATATATATATATATATATATATATATATATATATATATATATATATATATATATATATATATATATATATATATATATATATAGACATAGCAGAAATGACCGCACTCCAAGGACTTTATAGAGATTTTCAAATAAAATTTAGCTTTTATTCAATCCATTTAAAAAGTTGACTTTTTAAATGGATTGAATAAAAGCTAAATTTTATTTGAAAATCTCTATAAAGTCCTTGGAGTGCGGTCATTTCTGCTATGTCTACATGATCCTTGCCAGACCAGCACCGGGCACCACAGGATTACACCAGGAGTGCAAGCCTTCGCTATTTATATATATATATATATATATATATATATACACATATATACACACACAATTTAGAATACTCTCTTTTCTATGGCTGTCATTACTAAGTTTGAGTATAATTATTTTAAATAGATAAGGCTAATCGAATTAAACAACTTGAAGATTTACTGAATCAAAAGGAAGAAAGACTGAAGAAAAGATTTGTTGACACTTACAATGCTGTTGTTTGGTTAAAAGAAAACAAACACCGGTTTAAGCAAAATGTCTACCAACCAATTATGCTTGAAGTAAGTTTTACTGTCGGTTTTATTTTTAGGGGTTTTCCTCCCTATTCTCAACATTACTATTTATATTTGTGAGAAAACTGATTAAAAAATAAAAATAGATTATCGTATAATTAAAAATAAAGTTTTTTTTTTCGTTTCATATAATCATTGTGAGATCATGACCCCTATTTATGGTTATTTAAACTTTTTATTAGATACATGTATGTACTTAGATGCTTATTTTAAACTGATGTTTATAACATAGTTTATATCCATTTACATCCACTAGATCAATATGAAAGACCAACAACATGCAAAGTATGTTGAAAATCACATTTCAGCAAATGACATGAGAGCATTTGTGTTTGAAAACAAAGAAGACATGGACATGTTTCTGAAGGAAGTAAGTGGTAAAGTTCCTGGTTAGTGTTACCTACTCGTTTTTTAACCCCTTCAGGACCGGCCTGTTTTTGCGATATTATAGTGTTTGTGTTTAGCTGTAATTTTCCTCTCTCTCATTTACTGTTCCCATACAAGTTATATATTGTTTTTTCAGGACAAAAAGGGCTTTCTTTACATACCATTATTTGTATCATGTCATATAATTTACTTAAAAAAAAATAAAGATGGTGAAACATGTTTTTTGACTTTTGCTTGAAAAATCTTTTAATTACCTACGAACGCTAATGAAAGAAACTCCTAAATAGATTCAAAATTTTGTCCTGAGTTTAAAAACATTCCTCTCCTGCCTCCCTCCCTGCCTGTAGGTTGGTGAGCTAGATCTTTGATCTCCCTCACCGGCCCATGGAGGGAGGCACATAGCGTGTGCCCCAGGGATTAGGGTGTGCCCAGGCACACCCCGTGCGCACGCCTATGGTTGCTGCATACACGGACGATATGTTATTCTTCATCACACAATCAAGAATAACTCTGCCCTGCCTAATGAAAGAACTCGAAGACTACGGCCGCCTGTCGGGCCTCAAACTCAACCTAAGCAAATGCGAACTCCTCAATATAAATGACGCGATGAGAGAACACAGAGCTATAGCCCCGACCTTCCCATTCCGGTGGTGTCAATCCCAAATGAAATACTTAGGGATTTGGGTAACAACGGATCCGAGCTCCCTCTACCAAACAAACTTCATCCCTCTCCTCACTTGCGTTCAACTCGACCTACGGACCTGGAACTACCCACACATCTCATGGCTAGGCCGCATAGCGGTGATCAAAATGAACATATTACCCAGAATATTATACCTATTCCACACAATCCCCCTATCGATACCGACGGCATTCTTCGCCTCCTTGAAAGCTACATTCCTGACCTACATTTGGAAAGGACACAGACCACGACTGCGATACGAACTCCTCTGCCAGACCAGAAGAAACGGAGGATTGGCACTCCCAGACATACGGAAATACCATCATGCAACGGCCCTACAGAGAATCCTAGAATGGCACACTAACCCACGACACAAACAATGGGTGGCCCTAGACAGAACCTCGACCGACGGCCCATCCATCTTCGCCTCAGTATGGAACACAAAAACCACAACGCAAGACGAACTAAACAAACTCTCCCCAACAAGCCAAACTCTTCAGACATGGTCGATAATACGGAAAACAGCAACCATCTCCCCCAAACCTTGCCCAATGACCACCCCAACGAACAACCAACTAATAGGGGGAGGACTACCGGCAAGCGCTTGGAACTTCCTGGGGGGAGAAGACTTCCTCCCCCTCTACAAAACACTGACCGCCACCGGATTGGTACCTCTAGAACAAATGAGAGAGGGCACACCGACCCCCATGCACAGATACCGATATACACAATTGGCACATTTCTACCATACGCTACCGAATAGAGCCACAGTACTCTCACGTGGTTCGAAGAGCTTTGCGACAAAAAAAAACAATTATCCAGAAACCAACTTCAACCCTATACCAGCACCTGATAACGAACAACCAAAACACAGCACTGCCATACAAAAGAAAATGGGAACACCTCACAGACAAGACATTCACAGACACACAGTGGGACAAAATTCTAATTCTCCACCACAAATCCTCAGTCAGCTCGTCATATCAAGAAATGAATTACAAATTGCTAACGTTCTGGTACAGAACCATGGACCTCCTACACAAAATATTCCCCAACACCCCAGCGACATGCTGGAGATGCGAGATGGATGTGGGCACAGTGAAACATATATCTGGTGGGAATGCATCAAAATCAAACCATACTGGAACCAGCTTATAGCCCGCATCAAGGACGTCCTAGGGGATACCACGCAGCGTTCCCTGGAAAATGTACTCCTCCACCACACACGAGAACCGATCTCAAAATACAAAAGATCTATTCTACGCCACCTCCTTGACGCAGCCAAGGCGCTAATCCCCACTCTATGGAAACAAACCCAAACCCCCACAATGGAACAATGGCTAACCAGAGTGGAAGAAATCAGAGCTGCTGAAGAAACTCACGCGACCCTGACGGACACTCTCAAAACATGTAGACAAATGGCAACCCTGGATAATATACGTGGCAAGACGGGACCAGAGGGGCATGGTCGGCGGGGATGGAGACTAGGGGGATGGGTTTACCCTCCTTACACCTTACCTACCCAGCACACTCACTCCTTCCCCACCCTACCTCAGCACACTCAACCACATACGCAACACCATACTCCAACCTTAACAAACAACTAAATCACACATAGTTAAAACACTTGAAAACACATGAATAACGTCACACAATCAAGATCAGACTGACATGACTAATAAAGAACCCCGAACCACACTGGAACGACCACTCCTCAGGAACTAACCACACACTCAATAGGACCGCTCCAGGCCCGGGACTCAGAGGATTACCATACCAATCACAAACACAATAAACTCGGAGACCATACACATTCGCCTCAAACAACAACAAAATATGCAAGCCAATTATATATTTAAGAGAACAACTCACTACAAGATGCAGAAGACCACAACCTGCAGAAAAAGATGAGAGCTTTATAACATACACCCAAGCAACTAACACAACCATAATACTCGGAGAGAACACCACACAAAAACATCACCGATCACCACCTCACAACACCTCATTGTAAGGGAATACAACTAACCCTAACACGTTATTACAAGCCCGGAAAGACCCACGAACCCCAACAGTTCACAATCAAGACACCAACCACACTACCCCGAACAAAGATACACACACCCCACCACCAGAAGACCCATAAGCCCAAAGGACACGAGACATAAACCTACAGATATACCACTCCAAAACAACGAATGAGGTAAATGATAACCAACAGACTGAGGACGTGATCACCGCATACCACACAGTAAGAGTAACAAACCCACACACTCATGACGGGCAACGAGAACCAACACCCGAAATACCTAATGATTCTAAGTTCATACTTAATCGAAACACGTAACAACAAAGAAATGTAAACCATGCCTACCATATAACACACCCTGTAATAACAGAATGGATGTTTACAGACAAAAACCAATCACACACAGGCACTATTAGGGACACTACACCACCTACCTAGACCGATACATCCAGAAGCCTAACTCGCACCACCAATAGAGATTAATGAAACAATACTCAGAAAGGTCTTGGTTAACTCAATTGGGCCTGTGAGTCCATCACAACTGATAGATAAATGCTTACTGTTTTCACTGTTCATGGAGGCCTGCGAGCCTCGCTGTTTCAAATGTTCTACTGTTACATACTTATGCTGTTATGAACATAACCACCAAAAAGTTATAAAAATCACATTTACTTAAAATGTATCAATAGTGACATTGTAACACTATTATCTGTCCTAAATCTCTGAATCACACCCCACATGTACATATTTTTTTAAAGTAGACAGCCCATGGTATTCAGTATGGGGTATGTCCAGTCTTTTTTAGTAGCCACTTAGTCACAAACACTGGCCAAAGTTAGTGTTCATATTTGTGTGTGAAAAAAGTAAAAAACTAAATTAAACGTTAATTTTGGCCAGTGCTTGTGACTAAATGGCTACTAAAAAAGACTGGACATACCCCATTTGCAATACTTTAGGTTGTCTTCTTTTGCAAATGGTATGCCATCATGGGGGTAATTCTCATTCCTGGGCTACCACACGCTCTCAAAGGCAACAGAACCAACCGGGCAATTTTCAATGTAAAAATATTTGACCGTTATATTCGACCCTGTAACTTTCAAAAACGCTATAAAACCTGTACATGGGGGGTACTGTTATACTCGGGAGACTTTGCTGAACACAAATATTAGTGATTCAAAACAGTAAAACGTATAAACAATTATATCATCAGTAAAAGTGCTGTTTGTGTGTGAAAAATGCAAAAAAAGTCACTTTCACTGACTATATCATCGCTGTGATATGTTTTACTGTTTTGAATCACTAATATTTGTGTTCAGCAAAGTCTCCCGAATATAACAGTACCCCCCATGTACAGGTTTTAGGGTGTCATAGAAAGTTACAGGGTAAAATACAGTGCTAGCAAATTAAATTTTCTGGACTTTCTGCCTGGGTTTTCAGGCAGGTCCCTCAAATTGCAATCAATAAAATTAGTTAATTATGTAAAAATATTACATAAATACGCACATAGAATTTAAACATGCATATTTATATATTTGAAGTCTACGTGTATATTTATATAATTATTTATGTAATTTTGTATATGGACATATGTATATTTCGTATTTTTATTTATACATTCATACATAGATATATATACAATTTCATTCTAAGTGTATTTTGATATAAACATATATATTAATATCAAAATACAGTTAGAATAAAATTTCATAGATATATAATTTTTACATTTTTATTATTTTTACATTTTTAATTTACTTATTTATATTTATAGTTAGTGGATATTTATATGTAGTTAGTGGATAGTTAATACAATGTTAAACAAAAATCTGCACACCAGCCAAGCCATAAGACTTGCTTTTCCCACAGAAATCCCAAATCTGCAGTGATGTTACAACCGCAAAGGATTCTGGGTGGGCATATGCAAATTAGTTTAACAAAAAATCACATTTTTGCCTTATAAGTGTATTTTTTTATATTCATATATGTATATAATATAAAAATACACTTAGTATGATATATATATATATATATATATATATATATACATATATTATATAGATATATACATAGATATATATGCACACACATATATAATTATTTATTACCATTAACAGTTTTTAATATTTTTTATTTTACACTAGCAGGGAGAATGCCTGTCAGCGCAGGCAGTCCCCCTGCAGGCAGACACTAGGACACCTATTGTGACCATGTGACTGCTCTGTTGAGCGATCACATAGCCCCCGGGGTCCTAATTCGCCGCGGGGAGACTGCCTGGGCTGCAGCTCCCTCGTCGCCTCCGTAATTAGTCAGCAGAGCCTACTTCAACTAATTTTGCGCCATGAGCCACCTGCCTGTTGGCCGCCCGTTTCCGCTCAGTATGAGCCACCTGCCTGTATAGATTCTAAAAAATCTATTTTATTAGCTAAAACTCCTATAAAAATGCTAGCTGCTTTATAAATGTATTGTTGTTTGTTCAAGATTTTTTTTAATTTAAATGCACCATGTTGCTAATGTTAAATACTGCAAAATAGGTAGTAATTATTGTAGCTCAAAGAAATCTATATTGTACAGGTCTAGCATATGGACACATTTTATTTTATTTTATATTGTATATATATATATATATATATATATATATATATATATATCTATATCAAGAGGGGGTTGGCTGCACTCACCTTAACATGCATAAATGGGGGTGCTGCTGGGGGCCAAATAATACAATACACAAGATCCAGCGCACTCACCTATCCACTAAACAGCAACTTCAATGTTGAAAGATTTTATTTGTTTTTTAAATTTGTCTTGTGTGTTGTAGAGATATATATATATATATATATCTATCTCTCTCTATTTATCTATCTCCTAATGTAGAAAGTCACATGGATTGGGTAAATAAACATTTATTATAAATAATGCTAAAACCTAATAATAATGGTACTATATACACCAAAACAATGTGTATAAATAGTAATAGAGTGATCACCAACACCTATAGAAGCTTGGGCAGGCTAATCCTAGAAAGTCACATTACTAAATATAAGGTTCAGATGAGTAGGTAATATATGCCTCTAGACGCTCAGTGGATTCGCCTAAATAACCTAGTATATATGTGACAACATGGTCTAGTCTAGTCATACAGTTGAAGAAAAAATAGCGCTAATGGGATAGTAGGTGCCTGGCAGTGGTTATGGTGCCGACAGCAGAAAAAGGCAGAACTGTAGTCACAGGTATAGGCGCCCGGACTAAGCCCCTGACGAAGGTGCATCTCTCGTCACCGAAACGTACGTTGGGCGTTTTTTCTGCACTGGGCACTGGTGTTTGGAGCACCATGATCACCATTTAATTTAACTTTATTTTATATCGTTTTCTTCTTTTCTTTCCTATGCCTATCTAGCTAGCTTTACAGGGAGAGAGGCTTTATTAATGCTAATTATCAGTCTGTTTTTGACTGATTTTTTTACTTCTATTTTCAGTCCTTATCTCTCTCTGTTTTTCTTAATATGTTTCTAGTGTGACCAGGATACTTCCTAGGATGCATGGATTATAGAGACTTAGCTACTGTATACTCCTATCCCTATAGCAGATCACAATAAAGCTTAATTATAAGGGGGAGTGAGGTTATCTTTTTTACTATCTCTTGATCTATACTACCCTGGGCTGGCATAGGATTGTAGGTTCACTTGTATATACTTTGTTTAATTAGGGTCTCTGACCATATTATTTCTAATAGCCAGGTTCTATATTTGGAACATCGCGCTATACATAGATATATTTTTTCCAGTCAATGCAGTAAGTTTCATTCATATAATTGAGACGGTCTGCATATTTCTTTGTTCTTGTGTTTATATTTGGGGTTAAGCCCCTCTGAGACAGCTGGAGTCTCATACTGGTACGTTGGTCTCTGCGTGACCCCTGCAGCCACTGCCCCCCTTTTGGGGAGGTTTTGAGGTGGTGGGTGCGGCGGCTATACAGGGACTTGGAACGTTGTGTTCCTTGCTCTCTTTTTTGTAAGTCCTAAGGTGTCTAGAATGGAGAATTGAAGGTAGTTAGAGTATATTAATGTCCCATAGGTAAAGCATTCACCCTTGTCACAAACAAAGGCGGAGGGTGAAGTAGCCCCTGTCACACTCTGACATAAATAGCCAAAGTGGTGGCAGCAAAAGCAATTGCATAATGGGTAATAAAACTGCCTAAAAAATGGTAAACCTATCCTTATGGAGTAAAACCTCCCAGTATTAAGGTTAAGAGAGACACCCTAGGACGCCCTGGACTAACTGTCTAGCCTAAAATGGCAAAACTCACTGCTCCTTCATGGCAGCCAAATGAAATCCCTAAAAAGCTATAAGAAATGCTTCAGTGCATGACTATCCACCTGGGCTCCCACGGCGTTCAAGAAAGAAAAAAAAGTGGTATCAGCTGATATTAGCCAATGCTATTACTTTGAACGGAGTTTCCACTTCTTTTCGTGTGTGTGTGTATATGTATGTGTGTATATGTGTGTGTGTGTGTGTATGTATATGTGTGCGATTAACTAAGCGTGAGTGCAAGGGTGGGTGTGTGTGTGTGTGTGTGTAATATATATATATATATATATATATATATATATATATATATATATATAATTACACACACACACACACACACACCCTTGCACTCACGCTTAGTTAATGCTAACGCCGGGTACATGCGCCAGAGCTCCAATAGACACAAATATCAAAAAGGAATGGCTGCTCACCGGACTTAAAAACAATGGCCCCGATGGATGGCGGGTGAGACACACCTGGGTGAGTTCCTTTACTAATTATATCACTATATAATGTTTGCCTGTATGCATAATAGATGTTGTCCTGTTATTTAGACCCTGAAGAAAGTCCCGAATGGGGACTGAAACGTTGGTCGAATTTTAACATTATACAATAATTTTATTTTTATTTTTTAAGTCCGGTGAGCAGTCATATATAACTATCTCTCTCTCTCTCTAATTTATATATATATATATATATATATATATATATATAGTGTATATGTATGTGTGTGTGTGTGTGTGTATATGTATGTATGTATGTATATGTGTGTGTGTGTGTATATGTAGAGAGAGAAATAAAATATATATAATCTCTCCCTCTCCCTCTCCTCCCATACCAGTAGAGAAGATGACCAGCACTCACGGATTCCAATAAGTAGTTAAAAGTTATAAATTTATTAATCCATCTTTAAAAAGCTGCTCAACGTTTCAGTCCACGTTTGGGACTTTCATCAGGAAAGTCCCAAACGTGGACTGAAACGTTGAGCAGCTTTTTAAAGATGGATTAATAAATTTATAACTTTTAACTACTTATTGGAATCCGTGAGTGCTGGTCATCTTCTCTACTGATATATATTTCTATCTCTCTCTATATATATCTCTATCTCCCTACAGAAATACTCAGATTTATTTCCTATTGTTCTAAATGTAAGTTGTGTGTAGTTGCTATTCTGCTTCATTCTAATTTTTGGTTTTCTGTGTTTTAGATCCGAGACAATCAAAGGTTAAGAGTGAATGCTGTTTGCTCTCCACAGGAGTCATTTGCAGACCGAAACCCTACGAGACCTATAAGTGAACTACAGTAAGCTATCAACTGAATTTTGAGAAAAGTCCTGCCCAGTGCAAGATCATGCTCCAAGTTAAAAAAAAAGTGTTTCCTAGTTTTAGTTTTTTTTTTTTTCTTTTACATTAAAAAACAATGTGCATAAAAAATTTGAAAATAGGTCAGAAAGGAAAAACCTTTAAATTGATGGAACTTTTAGACCATCACGCTATTTAACAATGTCCAGATTTTGTAGAGAACGAGCATGACTATGGTCTTAATTTAGTTGGATCAAAAGCAGCCGGACGGATGAAATCTATGGCTGAATTGTTAAAATAAGAACACGGATGCTTCAATTCTGGGTTCAGATTTTAAAACCACAAATTATTTGCCCACTGGCAGAGCAGCACTACCAAATCTTTTAAGCATTAACATTTTTTGGCAGGCAACCATTGCTGTCCAATTGCTAGAAACACCTCATTCCATATGGGTGGCAAAATTTAAAATTAATACTCCACCCATGGGCTGCTGATAGAGGCTACTAATAAAATATACACTTGTTCACACCCCACACACTTGTGCCAGTCCCTCCTCTACCCCATAGATACCATGGGAAAGGGCCTTTCTTCCAACTGGGCAGCAATGGCTCCCCAGTCACTAGTTTATATTTACAGTGAGCAGCTACTGCTGTCCACTGTTTAGGAAATATGCCCATACTTTCTGCAGATTGGATCCTTAAAGTTTAATTTTAAATTTTTTTTATTTTTTCATTTTATTGTGGCAAACTTAACTAAAGCAAATGAATGATCATTTACAAACCTGTTTTATAAATATTCTAAATCCCTATACTTGTATAGAGTATGGATGTGAAAAGCACTGTTTAATCCAGACACTGAATGCATCTGACCGATTGGTGCAGATAAGGTCTGTTGAGTTTGCAGATTTCCAACTGGAGTGAGCTTTAGTAAATATGAGAATTGCCATTTTAGTTATAATTAAGGCATTTTCACTGGATTTTGTCCATACGAGGACATTCTGTGTTTAGTATATTATGAAAGTCACCCTTTGCAAGGTACGCTATAGCTTAATGTAGTTGTTTTTTGTCAGTATTGTATGTCCATGCAGAGAAAATTGTTTACATTACAGCCTAGTAATACCTCCAGTGGCCACTCCTCAGACTGGGTCCATGTAGATGGACCCGCGTGGCGCTGGAAATTAGGTAGGTTTTCTTATTATTTAAGGGGCAGAAGAGGGGGGAAGCAGGGACCCTACATGTGTTCTTGACCCTATAGTATTCCATTAAGCTAAAATCGCAGATTTGGCAAATTTCTCTTAATTCCACTTTAGTCTTGACCATCTTTCCCTGTTTTGCAATTTAGATTTGAAATTGCTAATTTTGACTTTAGTGAATAAACCCGGAATTATAATTTCTTAAAAACAGATTTATAGTTTTGTAACAATATACAATATAGATAAATTGGCGCTACAATAAAAATTGAATTAAAATCTGATATGCAGCACCCGCTATCAACCTTGGTAATAGGGTACAGGTAGTAGATAACAAAAAGTGCTGGTGCGCAGGAATTAAAAAAAAAAAAAAAGAAAAAAGAAAACACCTCAAGTGTTAATATATATCATAAAGTGCTTTTAAAGTACATACAAAGTGGAACTGGTGTTATCCCACATTACAAACACATCTATCAAACACACATTTGCATATACTTATAACCTGTAAGTATGCACTGTTGATTTCTGCAAGTAGGAGACAAAAGGGGACAAAACAAGCACTCCTAGTGCAATAAAGTTATTAAAATCATATAAAAGACTAAAACCCTTTGAAAGAATAAAACTCACAAATTAGGAGTGGTATTAGCCCCATTCAAAGCTATAACGCCCAAGGAGGATCAGTCCCTAGAGTACGTGGGATCCAATAGATGCTCTGGTGACCCGGGTAACCGGTAAAAAAAAAAAATGTATTGGTATGTAAAAAAAGCTTTAGCAGCAAAACAAATGTTAAGATCTATAGTTTGTGTTTACACCTTTTTTTCTTTTTCTTTTCTTTAATGTATGATACATGATAGGGATGCATGATTTTGAAAATATTTTCTGCAATTAATAGGATCATTATGATCATTAATTTTAATGAAAACTTCCCCTCCTTTTCTACCACACAGACGATATGGCTTTTTCTCCTACTTAAGAGAATTGTTCGATGCTCCTCCACCTGTAATGAGTTATCTGTGTTCTCAGTATTTTGTGCATGAAGTGCCTGTGGGAACCGAACAGACCAGATCTGTTATTGAAAAAGTAAGATCTCTAAGAGCTCTGATACGAATTGGTACTATCCTGGTGTTGTATACAGTAAAGAAACACTCAATATGATTCAGTAGCAGATGAAGTTACTTCCTGTCATGCTGTGATGTTATGTTAAGAGTACTCCTAGGTCACTCTGCAGGCCAAATGTATTCCTGATATTTGTAAAGATGCTATGGAGATCTCTTCATATGCTGCTCTCTGCTCATGAACCATGTAAATCTGTATGCTTGCGTATATATCTATAGTGACATGGAGAGCACAAATTCTTACCTTGTAAGATACAAATCTATTTGGCACATTGCTTTACATTAGTCATAGTGCATGCATATGTTGTTTCAAACCAATATACAGCTGCACTTGGAGTGACATTTGTGCCACTCTGGTGACTCCCAGAGGTTTGCATGAACACCCCGGGTATTGTAAACTGTAATCCAAATGTAAACACAAAGATAAAGCACTGCGCTTACAGCAGCAGTAGCTTAGTATCCAACAGCTCAAAATACATATTAAAAACAAAGACAATGTTACCTGCACTCTGGCTTGATGTGGCAGGTGATCTTATATTCAAATGGCCATTGGAATAAAACTAAAGAGCCTCCATTTTGTTTAAATGTACATAGGGATTTAGGCCAGAGCGCAGGTAACGTTCTCTTTGTAAGTCAAATGTGGCGAATTAAAAAAAAGAATCGTAATCCAGTTTGTGCTGCATTTTGCTACCTTCAGCTGCTTCACCGGGGGCATCTTTTGCCAGCACGGAACAAAAGTTCTAATGTGAATTCCATTCATGCTGATAGCAGACAACAGGCATCAGTTTGCACTGTGGGCTTCTATACCAGGAATCGTTGAGTGACAGAGTAAACCTTTGTTGCTGTTCTGCTCCGTTTTTGTTTGATCAGTATTCCCCCTGGAGTGGGTGTGGAAAGCATAAGGAATAAGAAGCTGGTAAATATGAAATAAAAATATAAACCTGCTTTTTTCAGCCTGCAGAGTGAGGCAACTGTCTCATTCAAAGCTAAAGGATTTGAATGAGACATTTGTCTCAAAGTGATAAATGTCCCTTTAATATTAAAGAATTACTTTATTTATTCATAGAACATTTAAATGTAATGCTTAAAATGACACTCTAGACACCCACTTTCCAGACAACCACCAGAGGCACTTTCTGGTCCCAAACAGAGTTTTCTACGTCAAATTATGTTACACTTTGCATGAGGATGCCCAACATTGTCAAATTCCCCATAGGAAAATATTAATTCATTGCTTTGCGGGAGGAGGAGACCTATTCAGCACCAATGTAGCTTTGCCAATGGAAAGAGGTAAGTGAAAAAAGGGGTTTAACCCTTTAATCGCTGGATGGAGAAGGGGCCCATTTAGTTAAAAACTGGGACACTTTAGCGTTTTGAATACAGGTTTGTATTCCGAACACTATAGTGTTCCTTAAAGGTATGATTTGGATGTAAATTAAGATGATGTAATAGTGGGGTGTTTATTTTAATAATTTTTTTAACTCTTGAATATTTGGTCATTTCAATGAAGTGTTTTCAGGAACATCACTTACTACTTTTTATGTTTTTTTGTGTTTTTTTTAGGTTATTAAGGAAACTAGATTACGACAAATGTATACAGCGGAAGAAAAATACTCAACAAAAGTGTCTGCTTACACAAACAAAGTTATTTCTAGCAATATCTCTCTAAAGACAGCACAGTTTCTAACTGTGACAGTGGATGCCGAAGAAAGGCGGCAGTTAGAAGAACAGTTAAGGGTTAGTGACTTCATTTTATTTTTGAATGCTTTTATATGTGAATCCGCACTGGAGACATTGTTTTATAAATTATGTAAACTAGTTATTATTTATATAGTGCTAGCAAATTCCGTAGTGCTGTACAATGGGTGGCCTAACAGACACGTAGTGGGCGCAAAATGGACAAATGGGCGCACAGCAACAGAGGGCCCTGCTCAATGAGCTTACAGGAATGGGGTATAGTGACACAAAAGGTATAAGGAGGGGTAATGAAATAGGTTGCTAGAAAAATATTCACTGAGAACTTAGGTTATTTTTGACAGTTACAGGAGATGAGTCATGGGGGGAGAATGAAAACCTGCTAAGGTTAAATGATATGCTTTCCTGAAGAAGTGTTTTCAAAGATTTTTTGACGAAGTGAAAACTGGGTGAGCATCTAACAACGGAGAAGGGAAGGGAGTTCCACAGAAAAGGTGCAGGCCTGGAGAAATCTTGGAGGCGAGCATCAGATGTGGGAGTACAGACAGAGGATAGACATAGGTCTTAGGCAGAGCGCAGAGGACATACTTGTGTATTAGGGAGGATAGATAGGTTGGAGCAGCATTATGTAGGGACTTGTAAGCAAGCACAAGAATCTTAAATTGAGCCCTATATCTAATTGGAAGCCATTGTAGGGAATGGCGTGGGAGGTGCAGCTGGAAAATGTGCCTCGCCACCACATTCGTTATAGATTGCAGCGGTGCAATCTGGGAACACGTAACACCAGTAAGAAGGGGGTTGCAGTAGTCAAGACAAGAAAGAGCTACGGCATGGACCAGCAGCTTAGTCGTGTCTGGTGTTAAATAGGGGCGGATGGAAGCGTCAGGATTTGGCGATCAACTGGACTTGAGGGGTGAAGGAGAGGTCAGAGTCAAAAAGAACACCTAGGCAGCAAGCCTACAATGTAGAGGTGATGGTGACGCCGCTGACTTGGAGGGAGACAGACACGGGAGTAGCAACACTTGAGGGTGGAAAGACCAGAAGTTCTGTTTTGGACAGGTTGAGTTTAAGGAAGAGAGCAGTCATCCAGTTGAAATCGCGAAGAGGCAGTCCAAGACATAACTCAAGATGGGTGGAGAGAGATCAGGAGAGGACAAGTAGATTTGCGTGTCATCTGCATATAAATGATAATGGAAGCCAAAGGAGCTGATAAATTTACCAAGGGAGGCAGTATAGTAGGGGACCAAGGACAGAACCTTGGGAAACACCAACAGAGGGGTTGGGGAGTTGGATGCTTACAATGTTAGTGCGTGCTGTGTTTTCTCTTTCCTAAGTTTCAAAATAGAATTTAGTCACTCACCATCTATGCAACAGAGAATATACTTCTAAGTTGTATGTGAGAGAGTCTATAATGACTACATTTATTGCACACGTCACCTCTTTCATTTACTCTAAAACTAAATGAATAAAAACAGAGTATACTTGGTCCCGTTGGCCTGTTCTCAGACCAGTCCTTAAAAGGCAATTATGTGTTACTTTTTTTTGCCCCAAGCGGATAATTACTAAGCGGCTCCATCAATGGCTTAACAGCATTGGCCACTAATTTTAAGTCTTTTTGTGCACCCTCCACTGAGTTTATATCTCCCAGTTGGGATAAAAGTAATTTTTAAATATTGGGTTATTTTCTAGTTTATGTAAATGGTTAAAGTAAATACTGAATATGGTTTAACTTAAATGTAGTATATAATAGTATATGATGCATCAAGGCTTATTAGCTTCTTTTTTTAAACTCTCATTATCCACGTTTTACTTTTTTAACAGTAGTATGCGTTCTTCCCTTCACCTGATATTTGTACTATCCGCTCTGGGGTCCAGATTAGGTGTGCGGGTGGACCAATGTTTCCCGTTTTAGGGTATCTGCCTGTTGCTGCTATGGTTGAGGGCTGGGGTTGGTAGCCGAGTGGGCTTTTTGATATCTGGGCAGTGATATGTAGTAGGTGATGACTTGGGTGACCTTGGGAGGCTCTGTTCATTTGGCACCGTCTTGGTGAGAAAGATCTGAATGTGCAGTGTAGTTTAGTTGTGTGGAGTGGTAACTGGTGGAGATTAAAGGACCACTCTAGGCACCCAGACCACTTCAGCTTAATGAAGTGGTCTGGGTGCCAGGTCCTTCTAGGCTTAACCCATTTTTTCTTAATTATAGCAGTTTCAGAGAAACTGCTATAATTATGAATGGGTTAAGCCTTCCCCCATTCCCTCTAGTGGCTGTCTCATTGACAGCCACTAGAGGCGCTTGCGTGCTTCTCACTGTGATTTCACAGTGAGAGCACGCAAGCGTCCATAGGAAAGCATTGTAAATGCTTTCCTATGCGACGGGCTGAATGCGCGCGCAGCTCTTGCCGCGCGTGCGCATTCAGCCGGCGGGGCGTAACGGAGGCGGAGAGGAGGAGGAGAGCTCTCCGCCCAGCGCTGGAAAAAGGTAAGTTATTACCTCTTTCCCCCTTCCAGAGCCGGGCGGGAGGGGGACCCTGAGGGTGGGGGCACCCTCAGGGCACTATAGTGCCAGGAAAACGAGTATGTTTTCCTGGCACTATAGTGGTCCTTTAATGTATCTAACAGAGGAGAGGAAGGGAGGACTTAGAGGGGTAGAGTGGAACAAGTTGTCAGAATTAGTGGAATATATGGCCGGGCAGTAGGTTGGAATTGGGAACTTGAAGAGCCAGGGGTCCCATATTTTGTCACAGTGTTTGGTTGTGTTGTGGACTAGGGCTGAAAGACTGTCTGGCCTTGTCTGTCTTTTTTTACGTCACCCATGGTCGGGACTGTGGCTGCGCCAAAGTGTTTCGCGATGGATCTCCTGGTCGCTAGTGCTAGTTTGGGCAGTAATTTATTTTGTGCCCGGGGTATGTCCCTCACAGGTTTGGAGAGCTGCCACAGCCAGGGGTCCCTAGGGATGGTCGTGTGTAAGATTTTAGAGACTAGGGTTGTAACTTTCGTCCATAGTTGGGCTATTTAGTGGCATTACCACCAAAGGTGATAGTACGTCCGCAGCCCTTCCAGCACAGGTCGGAGGTGGACATACCCAGTGACTTTTTAATGTATCTCTTTTCCCAGATGGCACTGTTGAGGTTTGAATAGACTTGCGTTTATCTCACATGCAAGGGTTTTAACTTAAAAGGTTTTTCATAACATGATTCAGCTTGATAGCTCCATATTCCTGCATACTCTGCCTGTATTATTACAAGAAAGGTAATAGGGAGGAGTCTGGCAACTATAGGCCAGTAAGCCTTACTTCAGTAGTGGGGAAAGTGATGGAAACCATGTTAAAGGATAGGATTGATGAACATCTAAAAACACATGGATTTCAAGATCAGAGACAACATGGGTTTACTTCAGGGAGATCATGCCAAACTAATCTTATTGATTTTTTTGATTGGGTAACTAAAATTATAGATCAGGGTGGTGCAGTAGACATTGCTTACCTAGATTTCAGTAAGGCTTTTGACACTGTTGCACATAGAAGGCTTATCAATAAACTGCAATCTTTAAGTTTGGATTCCAATATTGTTGAATGGGTAAGGCAGTGGCTGAGTGACAGGCAACAGAGGGTTGTAGTTAATGGAATATATTGAAGCTTGGACTTGTCACCAGTGGGGTACCTCAGGGATCTGTACTTGGACCCATTCTCTTTAATATTTTTATTAGTGATATTGCAGAAGGTCTTGATGGTAAGGTATGTCTTTTTGCTGATGATACTAAGATATGTAACAGGGTTGATGTTCCAGGAGGGATAAGCCAAATGGCAAATGATTTAGGTAAACTAGAAAAATGGTCAGAATTGTGGCAACTGACATTTAATGTGGATAAGTGCAAGATAATGCATCTTGGGCGTAAAAACCCAAGGGCAGAGTACAGAATATTTGATAGAGTTCTAACCTCAACATATGAGGAAAGGGATTTAGGGGTGATTATTTCTGATGACTTAAAGGTAGGCAGACAATGTAATAGAGCAGCAGGAAATGCTAGCAGAATGCTTGGTTGTATATGGAGAGGTATTAGCAGTAGAAAGAGGGAAGTGCTCATGCCATTATACAGAACACTGGTGAGACCTCACTTGGAGTATTGTACACAGTACTGGAGACAGTATCTTCAGAAGGATATTGATACCTTAGAGAGGGTTCAGAGAAGGGCTACTAAACTGGTTCATGGATTGCGGGATAAAACTTACCAGGAAAGGTTAAAAGGATCTTAACATGTATAGCTTGGAGGAAAGACGAGACAGGGGGGATATGATAGAAACATTTAAATATATAAAGGGAATCAACACAGTAAAGGAGGAGACTATATTTAAAAGAAGAAAAACTACCACAACAAGAGGACATAGTCTTAAATTAGAGGGACAAAGGTTTAAAAATAATATCAGGAAGTATTACTTTACTGAGAGGGTAGTGGATGCATGGAATAGCCTTCCAGCTGAAGTGGTAGAGGTTAACACAGTAAAGGAGTTTAAGCATGCGTGGGATAGGCATAAGGCTATCCTAACTATAAGATAAGGCTAGGGACTAATGAAAGTACTTAGAAAATTGGGCAGACTAGATGGGCCGAATGGTTCTTATCTGCCGTCACATTCTATGTTTCTATGTTTCTATAACGACCTGCACAAAAATCTTACAAGCACTGTCAGACAGGAAGCTGTACATCATCCTTGCTGACTAGACAAGGTAGTCAAGTACTGAGGTGATGAGAATTTACAGGATTTTGTGTGCTCCAGAAGACAGGGGGCTCTTACCAATGAAGATATTGTATTTATGTTGAGCTTTTTCTCTTTCATTAGGTTATCAGTTTAAAAAAAAAAAAAGAACATTTTAGAGATACGGAATTGCTTCATTTTATTTGTGGCTGTCTGTTATTGCTACTGTTTTATCACATTAGGGAGAGTTGATGCTTTTGTCATGATACTCAATAGAATTTTTAATATTTAATCCTCAAATTTAGCTTGTAGTAATTAAAATTATTGAATACAATTAAGCCCTTCATTTTGCCCATGTCAACTTTAGTTGTCACTTAATTTTGTGGTAACAAAATATTTCATTAAAATTATTTAAAATACTTTATTTCTTTATTTCTAAAAATGGAAATTGTTATTAATGGGGTCTGATTGCAGAAGGATAAAATGCACAAATACACCGTAATGTATTTTGTTTATTTTCAGGATATTCAGAAACGTTGCCTTCTTCTAGAATCTCACTGGAAAGAACTGGTTAACAAACAGAAACTTCTAGATAAAAGAGATAATGAACTGAGACAGAGGAAAAAAGAAATACTGGATGTGAGAGCAAAAAAACGGCAACTAGAACAAAGAATTAGTACTAGACTTGACAGGTGAGATGCTTACTAGGTTATGGTTTACTAGAAAGTAAAACTGAACAAAAGAGAATTTAAATATTACATTCTATACAAAAGCAACTTCCTGCTTGTAAATAATAGAGCTGTTCCAGTGTGAGTTACTTTTATATAAACTTCCCTAGCAACGTGCACACAGTTTAAACAGTGTACCACGGTTTGAGAGGTCAGCACATTTATGGGTATGCGGAGTCACAATTTTCAAACATAGTATTTGTCAGCAAGCTTACATATAATCAATTTGTCTTCAAAAGACTAAATATTCAAACTAGATTTTATGAAGTTAAACAATAAAATGGACACCAAATACCTTCACAATCCATTATTGTAAAGTGCATGTAATGTATTAGCATATGTACATAACATAAAGTGCATAAATAAATTCAAACTCTATAGAACAAAGTGCTTATATGTGCAATCACTTGTAAAGGTAAAATACAATATTATTTATAAAAGTGCCAATTTTTATACCAATTTGTCAAGTCTTCTGGAATCAGCCATTTATATAATTAATCAAAAGCAAAAAAGAAAACAAACAATAGTGCTGATAGTCTTAAAAACATAAGTAAAACACACTCATATAGACTTCTAAATGCTGCCGGAATTCGGGGATGAGGTGATGTGAGCACGTCACGTCTCGTTTGAGGGGGGAGGAGTTGTGGATAGAGAAGCGGCAGGAGATCTGAGGAGGTTGCAGTGGACGTGACGGATGCTGGATACAGAAGAGAGAGAGCAGGGAACGGTGACCGGAGAGACCGGTGCAGATATCGAACGGAGAGTGACCTGAGCGTACATTGGGTACCGTTAGTGGCGCCGTGAGTGGGAAGCCCTGAAAGCTGGGGGCAGCTGTATACCGCCGTATGTCTAGATACTTAGACCCGATATCAAGAAGGGATAATACATAGTCTATATAGGAGTGCATTTATTATTCTCCATTTTTGAGATAAGAGGCTGTATTCTTCCTTTTGGCAGATGGCTGGGAGAGATGAACGCAAATAGAGGAACCCCTTGCATATTTTTTTTTTTTTAATTTTTAATTTATTTATTTTTTTGTACAAGGGCTGATTATATTTATTTTATAAGGACTGTTTATATTTACTTAATACCATAGCATATACTACCTGCTACTATTTGCTACTATCTGCTACCATCTGTTATTACCAATTACCAATAACTGGGGTTATTACCTTCCACTATTTTGCCATTGACACTAATATTTCCATAATCACTACTACCGCGTACCCCATATTAGTGCAATTAATTAGCACTTATGTGTTGACTTTCTTTTCGTGGTTTTTCTCTTTTTCTTTCTCCTTTTGATATACTGCAAGGAGGTTGAATAAGTGGTTTATAAGAGGCTTGATAAACGGCCGAAAACAACTGAAGGAGGGACGTATAAACGAATAATTAGCCGCTCTGAAGACACTGAGCGGAAATCGATATATAGTGAATAGTGAAAATATTGCTGAATATCGCCATACCGCGCAGCATATTTTATATGCTATATTGGATTTGATTTTTAGTGTACTCTTAGTAGGCTATAAGAGTTGCATAGACTCAAAGCTAATCAGCTCTGAGCTACTCTCTGGTTACAGGGGGGCTATAAAGGTTTAAATTAACCCTTTATTCGACCATCTAGTATTAAGATTTTGACAAGGCAAAGTGCTGCTGTATCCAGGCGAATTATCAACATACTTGGAGAAGCTTGCATACTATGACCTATTTGGAGAGAGAATGGGACCTAAATAAAAAGCACCAGACAGCGTTAAACGCTACGTCTAAACCCACTATACCAACAATATCACCACAAGGAGCACAAAGACTCCATACAGATCAGATAGGGCAACAGGAAGAACAAACTGAGAGTGAGATACTCCCAGCTTTTGATCCTTTAAGTTCACCAATAAGCCCTTCGATGGTAGAAGTTTCAACAGAAAGCCTAGATCTCAGATCAATACTTGCACGATTACCTTCTAAATCAGATTTGATTGATATGTTTAGAAAAATGGAGGATAGCTTTGGGGAAAAATTAAAAGCTGTCACTACAGAAATACAATACTTAGGGGAACAGAGTGTGCGAGCTGGAAGAGAACCAAGAAATAAATTAAAACCACTGGACTGAATGTCAGAATACACTAAGATCACAGACCGAAGCTATTTTATCCATGCAAAGGAAAATGGATGATATTGATAATCAAGGAAGAAGAAACAATCTACGGATAAGAGGGGTCCCTGAAATGACGGAGGATGAACAAGAAGATCCTTCAAAAATTCTTCAATCAAATTCTAGGAAGAACTTCGGACTTCAAAATTAAGTTGGATAGAGTCCATCGACTAGGAGGATTAAGGAATACACCACAAGAAAATCCTCGAGACTTAATTTGTCGTATCCATGACTTCATATTAAAAGAAGAAATTGTAAAGAAAGCTAGAACAATGAAGGAAATCAAATTTAATGATCATACTATCGCAATCTTTCAAGACCTCTCTCCCTCTGCTTTAATGGCACGTAGAGCTCTGAGACCGATCACTCTCCTTTTGGGACAAAAACAGATAAAGTATTGGTGGAACTATCCATTTGCATTAATGGTCATTCAACACTCCAAAACATATATGATTGACACCAGTTGATATACCAGAGTTTCTACAAGCTTTGGGACTTCCTCCTATTGAGATTGAAGATTGGACAGGTCTTTCAGGCATCTCTCTACCACAATAATTTCAAAATCCCAAATGTCAAACTAAAACTAAAAAAATTGCTGAGGATGCCAGGGACTGATAGCCCTACAAATACTAGAAGGCCTTGTGATGTGACCCTCTAGGAGCCAATATATTAGAGATATTAGAGCTCTCTTATAAGCCCCTTGAAAAAATGGTACATAAACCCCGCTTTAGTCTTCTTCTCTCTCCCTTCCTCCCCTCTTAATAAGATGTCAACATGTCTTGTGGTCACAAATGGGTCTCCCACAGGGATGGCATCTTATCCTATTATGGAAGCAATAATTATAGGAAGAATATAAACTTAATCTTTCTTTTTTCGATTTTAATTTCCTTTTTCTTGTTGTTGTGATCATTTTTTTTTTTTTGTGTGTGTGCTCACAGCTCAAATATTGGGAAAGTTGTATTTGGCTAAGGTTCAGTAATCCGGTGGAATCTTTTATTGGAATTATGGTGCAAATTTGTCTTATGTCTTTAAATGTTAAGGGGTTGAATTCCCCTAGGAAGCGATCTATCCTGGTACAGGAATTAGAAAGACAGAAAAAAAGATATTGTTTTTATCCAGGAAACTCATTACAAAAATACCTTTCAGCCTAGACTTAATTTGAATAAATTCAAACAGACCTTCTATAGTAACTTTGTGAAAAATAAATCTAGAGGAGTGGCAATTTTTATAAACTTTGACTTGAATTTTATCCAACTAGACAGTAAATTGGATCGAGGAGAGAGAGATATTTTCTTAAAAGGGAAGGTTAATGATCAAATCATCACACTGGTAAATATATATGTACCCAATGTTAATCAGGCATCATTCTTGAGAACCTGCCTGAGGAAATTTTAAGGAAGGAGTTTTGGTAGTTGGTGGAGATTGTAATATCGTGCTGGATTATGCTGTAGATAGCTCCTCAAAGACTAGAGAAACACAGATGAACCAGAGGTCATCATTGCTAAAAACATTACATTCCTATCAATTGATAGACTGTTGGCGTTTCTTGCATCAGGGCGAGAGGGACTATACCTTTTATTCAACACCTGCAGATAGTTACTCAAGGTTAGATATGTTTTTTGTAAGCCATATATATCTACATTTAGTTAATGGAGCAAAAATAGGGAATATTACATGGTCAACCATAACCCCATTTTTCTAGATACTGAGCTGCAAGGCAATATGAGGGGTAAAAACATCTGGAGACTAAACAAGTCCCTTCTGGATGACCCAAGGGTCATCAAGGATTTAACAGAAACAATATCCCAATATTTCTTAGATAATTGTACAGATGAGATCAATGATATGTGGATATGAGAGGCTCATAAGTGTGTGATCCGGGGGTTCTGATTAAATGGGGAGCTAGATGTAAAAAAGAACGTGCTGAGGAAATAGAAAAGATGACGAAAACATTAGAGGCAACAGTCTACCCATAAGCAAACTCCAACAGAGGAGAATTTTAAGCGCTTAATGGTAGTCAGATCAAAGCTAAGGGCATTATTGAACTACGAAGGTCAAAGAGCGGTCCAGCTGACTCAAAGTACATTGTATACATACGGGGATAAAAGTGGGAAATTCTTAGCTAAAACACTCAAAGCTAAATTGCAAAAAACTTATATATCTAAAATCAAAGATAAACAGGGGGAAATTTGTAATACCACTGAGGAAATAGAAAATACTTTTAGTAATTATTATAAAGACCTCTACAAATTAAACCCCCCAGAAAAGACCCCTTACGATAGAGTGCAATATCTATCCAAAAATATACCAATAAAAATTTCAAAAGAAACAGCAGCACAAATGAAGGAATTGTTCTCCCTGGCGATTGAGGCAATACCCCTTATTAAAAGTCCTGGTCCAGATGGATTATCGGCACGCTACTTTAAACAATTCCAAAACATTCTTGTCCCAGACTTTCTCAGGGCTTCTAATGGATTGTCTTCAACTACTGACACCATCATTGTTGAGAGCTGTAATTGCTGTGATATATAAAGATAGAAAAGATCCAGAATTATGCAGCAGTTATAGACAGATTTCGCTCTCTGTTAACAATTGATGCTGAGAAAGCCTTTGACATGGTGTATCAGTCCTATCTGTTTGCAATGTTGGAGGCATGGGGGCTTGGTCCGAGATTTCGTAATTGGATATAGATATTGTATAAAAGCCCTTCAGCCATGGTTCGGATTAATGGTCTAATTTCGAACCCTTTCTTTATTAATAACGGCACTCGTCAAGGATGCCCGTTGTCCCCTCTTCTTTTTGTCTTAGCATTTGAACCTTTTTTAGAAGCTATACGTAGAAAAACCGATATATTAAAGGATATACGTATAAAGTAACCGATTTCGCAGATGATGTCTTATTCACGCTTATAGAACCTCAATATACACTTCCTTCTGTTCAGGACGAATTGGAGAAATTCGGTACTCTATCTAATTTTAAGGTAAATACAGATAAATTTGAAATATTGGCAGTAGGGATAAGCATAGGAATTAAGGAGAAAATACAGAAGCTTTACAGGTATAAGTGGACAGACTCTAGCATAATATACTTAGGAGTACATCTGATGGCTCATGTAAAAGATTTATTTAAACTAAACTATGGAAAATTATTAAGAAAAATTGAAGATTTAAAAAAAATTGGAACCAACCCTTCTACTCAATAATAGGGAGAGTTAACATCATAAAAATGATGATACTCCCTAAGGTATTATACCTATTCCAGACATTGCCTATCTCACTGCCGAAAGCCTTTTTTGCGAAAGTACAATCTATATTGCTTTCATTTATATGGAATAATAACCATCCACGTATCGCATACAAAACATTGACTTTACCAGTTGAGAAAGGAGGCCTTGGTCTCTCACATATTTATAAATACTATGTTACGGTACTATGTGCGTGAATTAGAGAATGGACAGCTATAGACAAAAAAAAGCCTCGTTATAAATTAGAACAAGATTTTATAAAGGTTAAATTGGAGACCCTACCATGGCAGAATTGTAATTTAAATTTATTATCTCCTTCTAATCACCCAATTATAAATCATATAATACAGATTTGGAGAAGGGTTAAAGATAGATGGAGGCTATCTCCGGGACTATCAGTATTTTTTCCAATTGCATCAAACTTGGAGTTCCAACATGGGATGAGCCATAAAATATTGGGAACGTTAACGGGAGAAGCAGACCGCCAGTAACAAGTTTAATAGTAGACGGTACACCCACTAGATTAAGAGCGTTTCCCAGCTGCGACAATACGACAACTCTTCTAGATAAAATGGGTATGGCTTATTTAAAGTTTTTTTTTTTTATTTTTTTTTTTTTAAACCAAAAAGTTTTACAGTACTGGCAGACGAGATAAAACTGAGTTTGAGTTACTCTGTGGTACTGGGATAGATAAAAAAAAACTATATCTGTCTAGTATCTATAACCTAATTCAGAGGGGTTCTATGGATAAGATAGTACCCTCATTTCAGTTGAACTGGTCATTTATGTACAAAATGGGAATGAAAGCCCAGGTAAGCACTGCTAGGAAAATGATTTTCTTTAAAAGAATTACTAGATGGTATAATACCCCAGATCGACTTAAGAAATATGGTGTATCTGCATTGGATGAATGTTGGCGATGTGGTGAGAAGGGAGCAAACATGGAACACATCTGGTGGGAGTGTAAACTTATTGGGAACTACTGGATCCAAGTATTGAGTGTCATCTATAAGATTTTACCAATGTCAGATCAATTATCCCCATCTAAGATCTTACTGGGCTGGCCAGCTTCTCTCAAGGAGAACAATAAACAGATATTGTTAAGTTTCTTATTGAATGAAGCAAATGCTTTGATCCCGCTGTATTGGCTTAAACCTAGCATCCCGACTGTAAAACAATGAATTATTAGAGTGGAATCATTAAGGGAACTAGAAGAGATTCATTGGACTACCCAGGGAAAAAGAGATCACTATGTTAAGAAATGTGGGACCCTTGGATAAAGCTATGGGCAGGACTATCATAATAAGACTATTTTATGATAAACTGAAGATGAGCAAATAAAATACTAATGTAAAATAGAACACTAATGTTAGAAATAGAGGCAGAGCTATATTATTCCTTTTTTTTTTTTTTCACTTTCTCTCTCTTTGTTCTGCTGAGATGCATATGATGATGTAGGACCTTGATAATGCTATTTGGTTATGGCGTAAAGTAGTCCCAATATCTGATAAGAAAAAAAAAAAAAGACTTCTAAAATGCCAACTCAAATTTTACAGAGTCTTTGGAATGGCTCTGTTTTATAGGCACTGGTGTATCTTTCACATGACTTCCTTCTTCTTTACATTGACTTGTAATCCTCTATCTTTTTCCCCAATATGGGCTGGTATCATAGAAGAAAAAGAAATGTATGTATTGTAATAAATTTGTATATATGTATTTCACACTCGCCTTTTTACATTGGCTCACTTTAACCCCTTAAGGATTGAGGCAGTTGTACAAGTTGTGATCAAAACAAAAGTAAACAAAACTTTGAATTTGCGCTACATGTCTATTCAACCAGAATACACCTCTTTCATATTAAAGGGAACACTATAGCCACTCAGACCACTTCCACTCAATGAAGTGGTCTGGGTGCCAGGTGCCTCTGGGGTTAACCCTGCCTACTCATCGAAACTGCTATGTTTACATTGGGGGTTAAGCCAGCCTCTAGTGGCTGTCTTCCGGACAGCCACTAGAGGCACATCTGCGACGCTGGAGGCATATTATGCCTCCATCATGCAGAGCGTCCATAGGAAAGCATTAAAAAATGCAGGGTGGATAAAAATCAATGATTTTAAAAAATCAAAAAAAATCTGATTTTATTTGATTTAAATCGCATTTTTTTGATTTAAATCGCATTTTTTTTTAAATAAAATGCTTTGTGAGGAAAATATATTACCATCCAAAGGTTATAACATATGGTTGCAGTGCTCATTTGCTGCACCTCTTAGCCAAAGACTTAAATGTTCCAAAAATAAAGACTAAATGTTGAAATTGCTAAATACTTCTGTAACAATCATTTTGCTGCAGCAGCTCTGAAAAGAATGGGTGGAACCAAGCTAACGCTCCCACAATATGTTAGATGGAACTCTTTGGTGGGCTGTTTTGAGCAGTATATCAAGAACTGGCCTATTGTGATGACAGTTTGTGAACAAAATCGAGATAAAATAGATGGCACTGTCACGTCCAAAATCCTCAACATTGCTGAGCATCCTGAAACCCATCTCTGAAGCTTTAAACAAAATACAGAAACATAGCTGTTTTATTGCTGATGCTGTTGAAATTTGGAAGGAACTGAGTGAACACTTAAAAACAAAACTACACATGGACAGAATTAAATTACAAGCATTAAAAAAACGAATGGGACAAGAACTGTCTCCATCTCATTTTTTGGCAAATATTGTCAATATCCAGTACTAGGCTCAAAACTTAAGTGTTGAGGAAAGAAGAGTTAGCTATGACATGGGTATCCAGCAATCATCCATCTGTAATGCCAACTATAATAAACTTCAAAGCTAAGGGGGATCCATTCAAGAAATATGTTTGCTGAAGATATTTTAAAGAAAGTCACAGCAGTGAACTGGTGGAAGTCACTTAAGCACTTGGATTTAGAGACTGTTCAAGTAAAGATTTCAATTTTAACAGCAGTAGCTTCTTCTGCAAGCGTTGAAAGAATATTCTCTTCCTTTGGACTCATTCATTCTCAATTGAGAAATCGTTTGGGACCTGTGACGGTAGTCACCATCACTGGGGATGGAAGACAGACACTATGGGTGGGCTCCCAAATTTCTTTTGTGTTTTGTCACATTGTGCCTATTATTTGTGCAGGGTATGTTGAATGTATTGCTGGTCTGTGCATCTCTCCCTCCCCCCTTTTTCCTGTCCTATTGTTTCCCCAGCAGGGTGTTGTCCCAGGGACACTGCCAGACCAGGGAGAAATATGCTGGAAAGTATTCTGAGCTGGAGATACAGGGTTCCAGAATTGCTATTGGGATCTATGGGGGTCACAGTGGCCCCCTAAGAGTGGATTCATATGGGGATAGGTTTGAGTTTGGGAAGGGGGCCATGGCAGATTGACTGAGAACTCCCTTTCTCCACTTCCAAGTCCCCTCTTATGTCTAAGTCACCCTGTGCTTATTAGAGGCACAGGGTGGACAAGAAGCCCAGTCTGGCCTGCCCAAACCAGACTTCCACAGACTGATCGGGTATGAGGGCTCAATGCTCCCGACCGGGACAAACTTACAAACTATGTGGAACTTTGTCGAGAAGGCTGCCAGGATGGATGGAATTTTTGGGACTTATTACCCGACTAACTCAGGCACAGACCGATTGGAGGTCTGGTACCTGGTTAGTCTACCTTTGGGGGGAAAGATATGTGACGGTAGTCACCATCACTGGGGATGGAAGACAGACACTATGGGTGGGCTCCCAAATTTCTTTTGTGTTTTGTCACATTGTGCCTATTATTTGTGCAGGGTATGTTGAATGTATTGCTGGTCTGTGCATCTCTCCCTCCCCCCTTTTTCCTGTCCTATTGTTTCCCCAGCAGGGTGTTGTCCCAGGGACACTGCCAGACCAGTTTAATCTAGCTGCTCTGTCCCTCCTCAATCTCCCATCAACTCTTGCTATTGTCTGACCCCACCCTTCCTTGTACTATAGTAATCTATGTAACCTATTGTATGTAAATGAGGCTGTTGGGGGCTTAAAGCGGCACTGTCATGCCGAACTTACCTTTCCTCAATCTCTTCCTCTTCTCCCCCTCTCTCGGGATCTGTTCTTCTTCTCTTCCTGTCTTCTTTAGTTTTCTTTAAAATCATAAGACAAAGTAGGGACTCTTTGCCTTATGGAGGATTCCTCCGCTTGACCAGCTCTGACCAGCGGAGGAGCAAAGTGTGCTTCATTTCCGCTGGTCAGAGCAATTTTCCCATAATTCTTACCTTTCCTCTGTGTTCCCGCGATGCTTCCTGTCATTTTAGCCGAAACTGCCGAATTGCGTTCTAACTGAATGAGAACAGTATGTTCGTTTCTTTTAGAACTCAATTCGGCATTTTGTTCGGATCGTAATTTCATTTGAATGAATGAAACTCTGATCCTATTCTTGCTGTGGCTGCATCTTGCAGCCTCTTAGTAGATAACTCCCTAATTCCCACGGTATCAAGGAGTTATCTACTAAAGGGCTGAAAGACTTAAATTGGTTTTTCAGCCACATTTACTAATACTAAGTAAAAATTACTTAGTATTAGTAAATGCTGCCCCTACTCGCCAAACCGCGAGTAGGGCCACAGGCTGCTCACTGTAAAAAAAAAAAAAAAAACCTATTGGCCCCCACCCCTAAACGACAGGTGGGGGCCCTAAAGTAAGATAAGGGGGGAGACCTATTGTTCCCCCCCCCCCAGCCCCCACCCCTGCGAGGTGGGTGGGGGTCATAATGAGTGGGGGGACCTACTATCGTCGTCGTCATCCCCCACCCCTGGGTGGCGGGTGGGGGCCATAATGATAATGAGGGGGGGTCGACCTACTGCCCCCCTTCTCCTCTCCCCCCCACCCCCCCACACTCCACATCAAAGGTGACTAGGGGTCCCCATGCTCCTGCAGTCTGGCTGCTCAATAATCTGTCATGCTCTCTGAGGGGTGTATTATTTTCCTGCCTTTAAAGTGCCTAGCGATTTTTGCTTGGCTTATGGAGACAGGACAGAGGTGTTCTTGTTTCTGATTTATCTAAATGTTTTGATTTAGCTTCATAGGGCTATGTTCCTGCATACTCTGCCTGTATGTTTACCATAACTGCCTTTACTCTGTTTTGGCTTCAGTTTGGAGTAAAACAAGGTTTTAGTAAACTAGGCATTTTCTTCCTGTTCAGTTAATGCATGCACAGTTCCCAGGTTGTAAACTTTGATATTTTAGTTGCAGTTGCACAAAAATCTTACAAGCACTGTCAGACAGGAAGCTGTACATCATCCTTGCTGACTAGACAAGGTAGTTAAGTACTGAGAAGGAGATAGGGTGATGGGAATTTACAGGATTTTGTGTGCTGCAGAAGACAGAGGCCTCTTACCAATGAAGCTATTGTATGTATTTTGAGCTTTTTCACTTTCATTATGGTGTTTTGGTGCCATCTACTGGTCGCTTTTGCATACTAATAATGATTTCATGGAAGCTGCTGTATATCATGGTCACCTTGTGGAGGATGGAACACTCAGATGTTCTCATTGCTGTTTAAGTGCATCTCCCTAACTAAGGTAGTATACCTGCCTAGAGTGCACTAAAACATTTCTCTGGGCTGTAAGTTCTGCATTCCAAACATTAAAGGGACACTATAGTCACCAGAACAACTACAGCTTATTGAATTTGTTCTGGTGAATAGAATCTTTACCTTCAGGCTTTTTGCTGTAAACACTGTCTTTTCAGAGAAAATGCAGTGTTTACATTACAGCCTAGTGATAACTTCACTGGCCACTCCTCAGATGGTTGTTAGAGATCCTTCCTGGGTCATGGCTGCCTAAAATGCATCCAAACATTTAGTGTCTCCACCCTCTGCATGCAGACACTGAACTTTCCTCATAGAGATTCATTGATTAAATTCATCTTTGTGAGGAGATGCTGATTGGCCAGGGCTGTGTTTGAATCATGCTGGCTCTGCCCCTGATCTGCCTCCTTGTCAGTCTCCGCCAATCCCATGGGGAAGCATTGTGATTGGATCAGGCTACCACTTCTGATGTCAGCAGACTGCTTGTTTTTTGAGGGAAATAGCATGCAGAGCTACAGCTTCAGGCTTAAATACAGTAAGATTTTGCAATATTTATGGAGGCATGAGGAGCTCAGGGGGGCTAGATGGTGGGTCATAGTAAGGCTATTTTATGCCCTGTATCTTGTGCGCATCTTGGCAAATCTTACATGGATGTCACTACTGCTGTAATGGTATTTTGGTTATTTTATTCTACAGCTTAAAGGGACACTATAGTCACCCAGAACACTTCAGCTCAATTAAGTGGTCTGGGTGCAAGGTCCCTCAGGTTTTAACCCTTCAGATGCAAACATAGCAGTTTCAGAGAAACTGCTATGTTTACATGTGGGGTTAAGCCAGCCTCTAGTGGCTGTCTTCCGGACAGCCGCTGTTGGCATAATATGCCTCCATTGCACAGAGCGTCCATAGGAAAGCATTAGGAAATGCTTTCCTATGGACACTTTGAATGCGCGCGCGGCACTTGATGCGCATCGGCTCCGCTGACGTCGGCGGGGGAGGAGAGGTCACCGGCGCTGGAATAAGGTAAGCAGCTGAAGGGGATTTAATCCCTTCAGAGCCAAGGGAGGGGGACCCTGAGGGTGGGGGCACCCTCAGGGCACTATAGTGTCAGGAAAACTGCTTTGTTTTCCTGACACTATACTGATCCTTTAACATTTAAACAATAAGTCAGAATACTTAGAGCTGGATAAAAATGTCTGATTCCCCCTTCTTTCTTTTCAGTATAGTGAGGTATGCCCGAGGTATGCTATTCCCTTGTCAGGTCTTCCTGCTCCTCCCCCCACTCAATTTTTATGGAGTCCTTGTGTCACGATCTTGGTTTTTGTCTAAGACAAAAGAATCATGGATATGTATTTTGCTTTTTCACTATTATTAAGGTCTTTTAAGTCTGCATTGTCCCTAGGCAATTTGCAATATGCGGAGTTTACTTATTTACAATTCCTGCTGGTAACAACGCTTGGGAGGTTGTTGACCAAAAGGCAGTACCACTGCTGATTACACATTAACTCTTATTAACTTGAACAACTTCTGCAATATGGAAGGGTGCATTATCCTGCTGAAAGAGGCCAATGCCATCAGGGAACACCATTGCCATGAATGGGTGTATGTAGTCTGCAACAATCTCTAAGTAGGTGGGACATGTCAAAGTAACACCCACCTGAATGCCAGGGCCCAAGGTCCCAGCAGAACATTGCCCAGAGCATAACTCGGCCTCCGCCAGCCTGCCTTCTTCCCATAGTGCAACCTGTTGCCATCTCGTCCGCAGGTAAACAACGCACATGCACCTTGCCATCCACTTGATCTAAAAGAAAACTGGATTCATTGGACCAGGCAACTTCCAATGCTTTATGCTTTATGCTCCATGGTCCTGTTGGGTCATTCACATCCCCACTGAAGGTGCTTTCAGCAATGCACAGGGGTCATCATGGGACTGGTCTACGGCTACTCAGCCCCATATACAACAGACTGCGGATGCCCTATGTGTTCTGACACCATTCTATCATGGCCAGCATTACGTTTTTCAGCAATTTGAGCTAGAGGTTCTGTGTGATCGGACCAGATGAGCTTGCCTTCACACCCCATGAACATCAATGAGCCTTGGGCGCCCATTACACAGACGCCGGTTCACTGGTTGTCTTTCCTTGCACCACCTTTGGTAGGTACTAACCATTGAATACCAGGAATACCCCACAGGACTTGCAATTTTTGAGATGCTCTGATCCAATTGTCTAGCCATCACCATTTGGTATTGATGAATGGTATTTACTTCACCTATCAATGGTTTTAATCAGTAAAATTGTTTGTGTGTGTATTTTTTTTTTTATTACTAGAGCATGTACTCTGTATGATGTTAGAATGTCTTACCTTCTCTTTTATAGTTTAAAGGAGTTGGAGCAAGAGAATACGGATTTAGAATCTGCAGAACAGCAAGCCAATGCCAAGATTAAAGAAATCAGTGTCCAGAAAGCCAGACTTGTTAATGAACTAACACAATTAATTAAGGTAAATGTTGCTATTCATATACCATTATATACAAAATACATTCCTTTTAAAATACCGGTATAGAATAACTAATGTAACTATAGCCTACAATTGTTAATTTCAGCATTAAATATGTGAAGATTTGGTTATTTGTGCAGTATACAGCAAATTAACCCCTTAAGGACACATGACGGAAATATTCCGTCATGATTCCCTTTTATTCCAGAAGTTGTGTCCTTAAGGGGTTTATTGCTAACAGAAGATTGCGACTGTAGAATGAGAATCAGGTAATTTGGTTTGTTATGGCATGAGCTGTAGTACTTTTTTAAATCTTCAGCATCACGGGTTTTATTCTCCGCAATCTTGATTCAAACACAAATTCTTTTGATGCTAATGAGACTAGTAATGCTGATTTCACTTATAATAACATGTCTATCTCCATGTTCTTCCTGGTAACTTACTTTTTAAATAATCAATTCGGCCCATGTACAGTTTTAATAATAATGTCTGATTCATTCGACTTGATATAAAAGTGTTTTTCTAGTAGCTTTTTTTCTGTGGTTTATAACACAGCTACAACCATGTTTCACAGCTACATTAGGTTAATACCCTTATGGTGCATTAATTGGAAACCATGTGAACAGTGTTAATGGTAATGACTGTGTATTTGGTTGGTTTGTCCAAATCTCAAATTCCATAATTACATTTTTTTAATTTGTATTTTTATCTCCAGAGCTGTACATTGCGTAGTATTGAAAAAGTGGACTTGGCCCTTCAAAGCACTGCTGTGTTATCAGAGAAGAATAAACTTGATTCAGAGTACAAAGAGGCTATATCACAGCTCAAGGACCTGGATGTAAGCAAATAAGCATTCCTCACAATAATAGTATTGAGTCCTCCAAATATGTCTGCAGAATTTCTCCATGAATGAATTAAACCGCTCTAGGAATCTAGTGGTTACTTAAATGGTTACTCCAACCACTATGGCCACTTGAGTGATTGGAAGAGGTCAGGGTGGTAGGAGTCTGTATGTACCCTTTGAAACAATGCAGATGCCATAGAATGTTCTTTAATTATAGGCTTTTTTTCAAAATAACTATTCAAATTTGATTTTGTAATAGTTATTGTTTTGTTATTATAAACATTACGTTACATATTGTTCATATTTTCTGTCTTCAAGAATCAATTTATGCGTGCTGATGAGATGAAGCGAAGTTTACTAGACAATTGCAAAGAACTGTTACGAAAAGCAAGACAGGCTTGTAACTTGGGGCCAAATCAGATTGTCCCACAAGATTTCCAGACGGTAAGTATTTGTGTAGACCTCATATTTAAATTGTATTAACATACCTATCTGTTGATTTTGGTAAAATCCTATTATTAGGAATCTACTAATTTCTATGTGTAAAGCATCTACCAGCAATGCAGTTGTTAAGTTTGTGCAAAGTGAACATGCATAAAAATGATAAAATTTCTATTGTGTGATGTAGTACAGAACTGTACAGCCAGCAACTTCCCTCTGTACAAAAGATAAGGCAGCCTCATACAATTGTTTGTCATCTTTGGACTAGTCAGTGAGGTGGGGCTGATACTCTTCTAGGTATTGTGAGCATGTGGTCCTAAGTGAGCTAAAGCTTGTTTGTAACCTTAAAGGTAAATTATAGACACAAAGACCACATCTCAATGAAATGTTCTGGGTGCTATGTGTCCCCAGTTTTTACCCTGCAGATCAGCAATGTTTTCATTGCAGGGTATAGGTACCTGTAATAGCTATCACTTTGAAATGTCTGAGGAAGCACCTCTAGCAGCTGTCTGAGTAAAACGCTGACCATCTGACTAGCGCAGTGCAGTGTTTGGCGTGCATGTGCACTACTTTCCTTGATGATCTTAGCCAAGGAGTGAGAACCAGCCATGGAGACCAGAGTTAAATAAAGTTAAATAAAGAGTGGACAATGCTTCCATTGTTCTATCTAAATCCAGCAACTACATGACTAGATACGAATTGAATGTATATTTGACTGATTTTAGGTTAAGGTACCCTCTATTGATTATGGACGATATTAGTTTAAATTAGAAATTTGCATATTGTAATTGTGGATAAGAGGGGAAGGTTATTTTAAAATTTATACTAAAACCTGCTGTTTGGTTAACATCTAGATGTCTTATTAATGATCTACCCGCAGGTTTGGTTCAGAACTGTTATTCAGGGGAATTGTTCCTGTTTGGCAAACACTTCAAGATTGTCATTTTTAGGTGACAATTTCTGGCCAGCCTGTTTAAAATCACAAGGCGTTCATCAATTCGTGGCAGCATTTGCCAAATTGCACTGTATGTCTAGCAATCTGAGTAGGTTACTCTATATTACTTGGGTCCACGATCTGGCTGGCCCACATGTTTTACCACATTCTCAGGTACTATTTTACGGTTTCATCTTTAGGTTTCCGTTGGTTACAACCCCCACCCTCCTTAATCTACTCCTATAGAGGACATTTACAATTACCAAGTTTATAGTCCTTATTAGCGGAGGGTACTGACTTTCAGCGATCTAGGTGTTCAAATAGTTTGTATTCCGGCCTCTATGCCATAGGCTAGTGGTTCTGCGAGGCCAACACCCATCGGTCCAACGCATAGTTATCCACCTTGCATGGTTGCATAGAGAGGGCCTCACCTGTCACTTCCATACTATCTTTTACTTTAATTGTCACCGAGAGGCCGACACCACCACAACGTTCGGTGGCTTGAAAATACTCTGTTTAACATCAGTATGGATTGGAGTAGACTAGATACTGAGTTATTATGCAGACGTTTTGCAGGCCCCAGGACGCCTGCTTGTGCAGTTTGCACATCCCCATCACGCGCGACAAATTTACGCCCTAACATAGCAGAAGCTTCTTGGTGCCACGCGGCTCCTTACACACCTGCAAAATCTGGTAAGGTAGTTAAGGATATACTGGGTAGGGACATTTTGGGGGGACAAGTCCCAAATGTGCAATAATTTTAAGGTGGGTACTTGCGGTTTCTGTGCTTGTTGGTTATTGCAGGTATTAATGTTATGTGTTTTGCTGAACTATTTATGGTACCAACCCTCACAACAATTGGTTAACCTTCTCTTTTAGTGGTTATTGCAGGGGTTTCACAATGGTATCATACACGTGCCATCTGATACGCTGGAATGCAATCATTTGCTGGCAACGCTAGTAGATCCAGAATCAGTGGATAATTGATAAAGACTAAGTTGGAACAGGGAATTGTTTTTGGGCCTTTTAGGTCTCCCCGCCCTTTTACTTCTTGGAGGACAAATCCTATTGGTATAGTCACTGGTAAATCTTCACATAAACACAGATTAATCGTTGACCTATCCGCACCACATTCCTACACGGTTCCTAGTCTTAACCCCCCCGTACCCTGGTTAATAAGACAAAGAAACTTAAAATTTTAACGTAAAATCATAGCACAATATGAAATTGCTGCAAGAGCATAGAAGGGTTCAGTAGAGCACCCAGGTGCTGGTGGTGACATAGATAATTGTGTGTGTGTGGGCGCAAGAATTCCCACCAGATTATAGTTAGCGTCATTCGTGATGATTCCTTCAGTAAGGTTTAATTTGGTGGGATGATAGGACTCCTGTTTTGTTAGGGTGTTGTATCAGCATGTGATGTTGAATGTTAGGTAGAGTTTGATAGTGTTATATGATAATTTTTTAACTTAAGGTGGCAAAAGGAAGTATATAGCTTGTATCTCTTTCTCTATCACCTTTTCACATATATTATGTGGTTATTCAAATTGAAGTTTTTTTTTTTAATATGTACATGTCGCTAATGACATCACAGAATCTCGTTTTCACTTTTTTCACCCTCCAATAAACACTTTAGCATTGCATAGTTAAATGCTTTTTTATCACAAAAGTCCAGTTGGACTGAAATGTCGCAACTATTGGTTTCTGACCACTATTACGCGTCCTGTGAGTCCTGGTCATAGGCCGTGGTAGAACATCAATGGGTAACTCCTCCTTATCCCTAATTAGACAGGAACCTAAATTAAACAAAAGGTGTATATATACTCCCTCCTTCCCCTCCCACCCTCAGTCTAGTTTCCAGGAAATATTACAGGGGATACTGTTGTCTATGGTCAGGGAAAAAAATGCAGTAAGGAATAAATTTTCCTTTTTGCCTGGACATATGCATGGCAGCATAACAATGGGTAATACCCAAGCAATAACAAAGGCAGTGAAAGTAATACAGAAAACTCCAAATATGGAAAGTGTATTAATGCAATCAAAGGTGACAAAACACACACTACAAGAACATTTTTCATTACATTCTGAAAGCACACTCTTGCCAAAATGATCAAATTGCTGGCTCGAACGTCCAAATGATAATGCCTGATGGAAATATTGGTTGAGGATCAAATGGCTCCTCTGCATGTAATTTCTGGTAACTTTTGCTACTGCAGCCCAGGAGAATAAAAGGACTCTAGTGGAGTGAGCTTTAAGTCCATCAGGTACCTGAACTCCGGAGGGTTTGTCAGCCTGAATAATTGCAGAAACTATCCATCTACCGATGACTTCCATAGAGGTCTGCAGAACTCTCCTGGCCCATTAGGGATGACAAAAAGTATTTGAAAAGAATGTCAATAAGCTGATCTTTGAATATATATATATATATATATATATATATATATATATATATATATATATATATATATATATATATATATATATATATATATATATATATGTAAACATCTTACAAAGTCAGCAAGCGAAAGTTCCACTTCTTCATCTCCATCCTGTTCAACATGCTTCAAAGTTTGGAAAAACAACTTCCTCATTGATATTCAACATTCCATTTGGATGGAATTCAGGTGCAATTCTTAGAATGACTCTATCTTTATGAAAGATAGTAAATAGCAGATAATGTATGAAATTCTGAAACTCTTCTGCCCGGTGCAATGGCCACCAGTAAAGCTGTGTTGATGGCCAGCAAATGTGAAGAAATATAGTCCACAGTTTCAAAAAGTGATGATTGATGGTCTTTCGAAACAATTCCCACAGTGGGACAATGGAATTGACTGGCCGTTTAATCTTCAATACTGCAGTCAGGAATCTGGCAACGTCCATATCAAAAGCCCATTTGTGATTGGTGAGGTCCAAAAGCGCAAAGACGTACCTTAACCCCTTAAAACCGGAGGGCGTACTATTACGCCCTATTCTAAGCGGCTCTAAACGCCGCAGGGCGTAATAGTCAGCCCTCCGTTTTTGTTTTTGTTTTTGTTTTTTTTTAACTAACCCGGTCGCCGGCCATCGCAGTTGGGGAGACTCACCTGGATCCCAGGGAGTCCCCCCGTGGCAGATCCTGCCTCCTCCATCCCCCTTAAAATAAAGTTAATCAGTGTAAAAAAATAAAAAATTATATACTTAGATAATATAAATATATATATATATATATAAAATCAAATTACACGTAGACTGATACTGATTAAATATATATAATTGTTATATATATATTTATATATAATATAAAAAATTAATATGTAAATACGTTAAAAAATGAATAATGAAAAAATGTTATTTCGTTCTAACTGTATTGTGATATATTTATAGATATATTTATATCAAAATACACGTAGAACAAAATAATATATATCTATATACATAAATATATTCGTATATATCACTATATAAATAAAATGTTTTAAATAAATTATATATATAATATATATACACGTGTGTGTGTGTGTGTGTGTGTGTGTGTGTCTATATATGTGTATATGTAATATTTTTACTTAATTAGGTATTTTAATTAATTACAATTAGCGGGACCTTCCTGACAACCCATGCCGAAAGTATAGGGAATTTAATTTGCTAGCACTATATTTAACCCTATAACTTTCCAAGACACCATAAAACCTGTACATGGGGGGTACTGTTTTACTCGGGAGAATTCGCTGAACACAAATATTAGTGTTTCAAAACCGTAAAATGTATTACAACGATGATATCGCCAGTAAAAGTGAAGTTTTTTGCATTTTTCATACACAAACAGCACTTACACGGACGATATGATTGCTGTGATACTTTTTACTGTTTTGAAACACAAATATTTGTGTTCAGCGAAGTCTCCTGAGTACAACAGTACCCCTCATGTACAGGTTTTATGGTATTTTCAAAAGTTGTTCTGGTGACTATAGTGTCCCTTTAAGTATTATAGCCGAGACACTTATCAATGCCCAATTGTAATCATTCCAAAACGTCTTTAGTAGAAGAGCTATAATTTTCGATTTATTCTCTTAATAGGTGGCCGAATTAGATTTCTGGCCTTTAGGAGGGTATCAATCAGAGCAGAAAAGAAACCATTGTCTTTAAGCCTTTGCCTTTTAATTTACATGCCTTCGGGTTGAGGGAGGATGGATCTGGATGAAGCACCAGATCCTGATGGAGGAGGGATGGAATTTGTGGGAGATCTAATGGAAATTCCTTGCAAACTGTCAGAAGAAGGGGAACCATGGTCTGCAAGGCTATCATGACTATAGAGACTTTCCTGCCACAACCTTCCCAGAAGAGGAAAGATGAGTGGAGTTGGTGGAAATGCATAATCCTGGTTGAACTGCCATCAGCATGATGGGGCATCTCTTCCTGCAGCTTGGGAATCAGAAAAAAAACAATAATAGGCGCTCACTATAGTACAATTGATTATTTGGTGAGGGCTGCGGTACACAATACAAGGATTCCCAAAACCTTGTGAGATAAGATTAAAAAGTGTATGGCGTAAACAGCACCCAAGATTTATATGTACATAGATCTTCAGGGGGTACAATACTTTGAACCTCAGAATAATAGAAAAAGACAATAATTGTACAGTACAATATGGTAAAGTACAGATTATATAAATGGCTATATGGGAACCACTCACATTTGATTGAGCTATCTAGAAACATAGAAACATAGAATGTGACGGCAGATAAGAACCATTCGGCCCATCTAGTCTGCCCAATTTTCTAAATACTTTCATTAGTCCCTAGCCTTATCTTATAGTTAGGATAGCCTTATGCCTATCCCACGCATGCTTAAACTCCTTTACTGTGTTAACCTCTACCACTTCAGCTGGAAGGCTATTCCATGCATCCACTACCCTCTCAGTAAAGTAATACTTCCTGATATTATTTTTAAACCTTTGTCCCTCTAATTTAAGACTATGTCCTCTTGTTGTGGTAGTTTTTCTTCTTTTAAATATAGTCTCCTCCTTTACTGTGTTGATTCCCTTTATATATTTAAATGTTTCTATCATATCCCCCCTGTCTCGTCTTTCCTCCAAGCTATACATGTTAAGATCCTTTAACCTTTCCTGGTAAGTTTTATCCCGCAATCCATGAACCAGTTTAGTAGCCCTTCTCTGAACCCTCTCTAAGGTATCAATATCCTTCTGAAGATACGGTCTCCAGTACTGTGTACAATACTCCAAGTGAGGTCTCACCAGTGTTCTGTACAATGGCATGAGCACTTCCCTCTTTCTACTGCTAATACCTCTCCCTATACAACCAAGCATTTTGCTAGCATTTCCTGCTGCTCTATTACATTGTCTGCCTACCTTTAAGTCATCAGAAATAATCACCCCTAAATCCCTTTCCTCATATGTTGAGGTTAGAACTCTATCAAATATTCTGTACTCTGCCCTTGGGTTTTTACGTCCAAGATGCATTATCTTGCACTTATCCACATTAAATGTCAGTTGCCACAATTCTGACCATTTTTCTAGTTTACCTAAATCATTTGCCATTTGGCTTATCCCTCCTGGAACATCAACCCTGTTACATATCTTAGTATCATCAGCAAAAAGACATACCTTACCATCAAGACCTTCTGCAATATCACTAATAAAAATATTAAAGAGAATGGGTCCAAGTACAGATCCCTGAGGTACCCCACTGGTGACAAGTCCAAGCTTCGAATATATTCCATTAACTACAACCCTCTGTTGCCTGTCACTCAGCCACTGCCTTATCCATTCAACAATATTTGAATCCAAACTTAAAGATTGCAGTTTATTGATAAGCCTTCTATGTGCAACAGTGTCAAAAGCCTTACTGAAATCTAGGTAAGCAATGTCTACTGCACCACCCTGATCTATAATTTTAGTTACCCAATCAAAAAAATCAATAAGATTAGTTTGGCATGATCTCCCTGAAGTAAACCCATGTTGTCTCTGATCTTGAAATCCATGTGTTTTTAGATGTTCATCAATCCTATCCTTTAACATGGTTTCCATCACTTTCCCCACTACTGAAGTAAGGCTTACTGGCCTATAGTTGCCCGACTCCTCCCTATTACCTTTCTTGTAAATGGGCACAACATTCGCTAACTTCCAATCTTCTGGGACTACTCCTGTTAACAATGATTGGTTAAATAAATCTGTTAATGGTTTTGCTAGTACACCACTAAGCTCTTTTAATAGCTTTGGGTGTATTCCATCAGGTCCCATTGACTTATTTGTCTTTACTTTTGACAGTTGAAATAGAACCTCTTCCTCTGTAAACTCACGTGTAATAAATGACTCATTTATCCTTTTTCTCAACTGAGGTCCCTTTCCTTCATTTTCTTCTGTAAATACAGAACAAAAATATTCATTGAGGCAGTCAGCCTGACCTTTATCCTCTTCTACATACCTTCCTTCTTTTGTTTTTAATCTAACTAATCCTTGTTTTACTTTTCTTTTCTCATTTATGTATCTAAAAATGTTTTATCCCCTTTTTTACTGACTGTGCTATTTTCTCTTCTGTGTGTGATTTGGAAGCTCTTATAACTTGCTTAGCCTCTTTCTGCCTAATCTTATAGATCATTTTGTCTCCCTCACTCTGTTTTTTTTATAATTCCTAAATGCTAACTTTTTGTTTTTAACTATTTTGGCCACATCTGCGGAGTACCACAGTGGTTTCTTGAATTTTTTGCTTTTACTGACAAGCCTAATGCAATTTTCTGTTGCCTTCAATAGTGCAACTTTTAAATAATCCCATTTCTCTTGGACTCCATTTAAATTGCTCCAGTCTGATAATGACTCCTCTACCCATATTCTAATTTTAGAAAAGTCTGTTTTTCTAAAGTCTAAAACTTTTGTTTTTGTGTGGTGTGACTCAGTCACTGTTCTTATATTAAACCACACTGACTGATGATCACTGGATCCTAAACTTTCACCTACAGTAATATCTGATACCAAATCTCCATTTGTTAACACTAAATCTAGTATGGCCTCTTTACGAGTTGGCTCCTCAACAACTTGTTTTAGAGACAATCCCAGTAGGGAGTTTAGAATATGTGTGCTCCTGGCACAAGTAGCTAATTTTGTTTTCCAATTTACATCAGGAAGATTAAAGTCACCCATGATGATAACTTCCCCCTTCATTGTCATTTTAGCTATTTCCTCAACTAGTAGATTATCTAACTCTTCAATTTGTCCTGGGGGCCTATAAATCACACCTACACGAGTTACTGTGTGATTACCAAATTCTAACGTAGCCCAAACGGACTCTATGTTTGCCTCACTAACTTTTATTAGGCTAGATTTTATGCTATCCTTCACATACAAGGCCACCCCCTCCCCCTTTCTTGCCTTCCCTATCTTTCCTATATAAAGAGTACCCTGGTATTGCTATGTCCCAGTCATTTTTCTCATTGTACCATGTCTCAGTAACAGCGACTAAATCTACACTATCAGTTGCCATTATTGCCACAAGTTCATGGATCTTATTCCCTAAACTGCGAGCATTTGTAGACATCTAAGAGCTCTGCTGTATTTCACGTGGACAGTATAATCCCCGCCTAAGGATATGTGGTGGTATAGGTAGTGCTGGTGCTCCAGACGAAATGCAGGTATGCTTGGTATATATGGAGGCAAGAAAAGCAAGAAAACTCCAATGGTATAGTAAGTACTAATAAATAGAATTAAAAAGAAGTAATGTATTAACAGCATGGGTGATATAATCTCTATCTATGGATATACTGGAACCAGGTAACAAACAAAAAAAAAAAAC